GTCGGGCGGGTCTATCTACGAGGCTTTTGCAGCAAGCCCTCGCTACGAGCAGTACCCCACCCTCGGGCAGCGCGGTGTCGACTGCTTCCTCGTGTGCAAAAAAGAAGGCGTCGCCACGCACGTTGTGCGTCTCAGCTCGAGTCTCGACCGGCAGTTGGACGATCTGAGCATCGCGGTTGCCGCCGACGAGGCTGCCGACGATCCTGCAGCAGTCTTTCATTGCATTGTGCCCGTTTCTGGCCCAGGGCCACGGCGGTTCAAGCTCCTGCGCGGCTTCACGGACAGCGCCTGGTTTATGTAGCTGTAGTGTCGATGAACCTCTGCAATCCTAGATGCGATACCAGCGTGCCACGTTATCAAAAAGGCGTTTCGTGTTTCAAAGTGCATCTTCGCGCGGGCTCGTGGGACAAGGCGCCGAGAAGGCGGGCGAGTTCGACGAGGGAGTTCCTCGCATGCGGCGATTGCCATTGCCGGCAACGACGCGCGTCCGTCGATGCCATTCTCAACTTCAGTAAAAAAGAGGGGGCCCGGGGACATGTCCGCGCTTCTCTACGCCTTCGTCGTTTATTCCATCGGGGATTGGTCGAAATCAATGACCGCTCGCCGTCTCATTGGCTGTACCTTGTAGTAACGGTCATCCGGATACAGTGGGCAGATACATCGCGTCTCGACGAATGGCCGACCGCGAAGACCAGCTGGTATCCGGATAGGGAGCCCGGCCCGCATCACATCACTTCACTACCTTCTTGATGGTCCTCCAGTCTCTTGGCACGGCCCAGCACGCGCTGGACGCCGCCCTCTCTGCGCTCCAGAGCGCTTCGTCCATTGACATTGCAGTCGTCAACGCGTCCTTGGCCAAGCTAGAGGCCACGCTTTCGGCCCTCCGAATGGCCGCCGCGGCGCCGGCGCCAACGCGCGAGGTCGGCTACGGCACCTTGACACGAGCACCGAATGCGACGGACGACCAAGTGCCCGACTCGCAGCCGTCGATCTGGTCTGGCTTTTACAACAAGACGCTGCGGGAGCGCTACGACGTGCTCTCGCTCATGTACCCGTCGGCGCTGCCGTCGCACACGCGCCGTGGCAGCGACGTCGACCAAATGGGCTCGCCCAAGCTTCGTCCGCGCAAGACGAGCATCGGACATGTCCCGAGCATGGCGCTCGAGGAGATCGGCGCGCTGCCGTCGCGGACAGCCAACCTCATGATTGAAAACTGCATCGGCGTCCTCGGCATCCCGCTCGGGTACGCTCGTCTCTCTCTTCTGCGACTCATGCCTTCAGCGATCTAGTCTCGGGCTCAACTTTGGCGCAGCCTCTCGGTGCCCATGGCCGTCGAAGAGCCGTCCGTCGTCGCGGCCGCGTCCAGCGCCGCCAAGCTCATTGCGGCCTACGGTGGCGGCTTCCACACCGAGACGTCGGGCAACATCATGACGTCGCAGATCCAGCTGCTCGACACCGTCGATATCCCTGCAGCGAAGGCAGCGATTGCCGCGCACCGCGACTACCTTGTCGAGTATGCCAACACCAACTTGTGCGCCAACATGAAGCGCCGCGGCGGTGGCGTGCTCCACGTGTATGCGCGCGAGACCGCGCCGCTCGCGCCGTCGACGGCGCCGGGCTGGTACGCCGGCTACGACGACGAGCTCGTCGTGCGTCCGAGCGGTGACGCGCCGACGCTTGTCGTGCACATTGACGTGGATGTGTGCGAGGCCATGGGCGCCAACATCGTCAACACGATCGCCGAAGGGCTCTCGGCCGAGGTTGCGCGGATTACGCAATCCCGCGCCGGTCTGCGCATCCTCACGAACCTCTGCGTGGCGCGGCGCGCGCGGTCGTCGTTCTCGCTGCCGATTGCGTCCTTGGGCTGGAAAGGCGCCGCGGGCATGACGGTCGCGAGCCGCATCGTCGAAGCCAACGACTTTGCGATCAACGATCCGTTCCGCGCGGTCACCAACAACAAGGGCATTCTCAACGGCATTGACGCGGCCGCCGTCGCGACGGGCCAGGACTGGCGCGCGATTGAGGCCGCCGCGCACTGCTACGCGTCTCGCCACGGCCAGTACACGAGTTTGACCAAGTACGCGATCCAAGGCGACAAGCTTGTCGGGACGCTCGAGCTGCCTATGTCGGTCGGCTCGAAGGGTGGCGCGCTTCAGACGCATCCGGGGTACGCGGCGACGCATGCGATTCTCGGCCGGCCCTCGGCGCAAGCGCTCGCGGGTATCCTCGTCAGCGTTGGCCTGGCCCAAAACTTTGCCGCCGTTCGCGCCCTCGCCATCACGGGCATCAACCAGGGGCACATGGCTCTGCACGCGCGCAACATTGCCGTCGCAGCCGGCGCGCCCAACGAACTCGTGACCGAGCTCTGCGGTACATTGCGATCGTCATGCACTCATCTTGATACGCTGATACTGTAGCCTACATGCTCGCGCGTGGCAGCATCAGCATCGAGACGGCCAAGGCGTACTTGACGGCCCACGCCGTGTACAAGGACATTGCGCTCGCCGAGTCGCCGGCCGCACCGCGCCGCCCGAGCATGTTCTACGTCGAGGTCGACGTCCCTGGCCTGGCCAAGCCCATTAGCGTCAACCTCGCGTTCATGTCGCTCTCGGCGCCGCAGACGATCGTCGTGACCAAGCCGAGTGGCACGACGCCGATGCAGACGCAGCTGCTCGGCGACAAGGGCTACCTCCAGCTCCAGCGCATGTTCACGTTCCTCGCGCAGATGAAGGTCATCGTCGTCGACGAAGCGTCCGACAATGCGCGCGCCAACCTCGAGCTCCAGAACAAGCTCCTTCTACTCTCGATCCTCCTCAACGTCGTGACGTACCAGCTCCAGCGGCAGCACCCGCAGGTCGTGCACGAATTCATCTCGAACTTGCTCGCCGCCGACGTCGAAGCGGCGGGGCCGTGGGCTGACGCGCACTTTGCATCGGCCAAGGACGACCCATTGCTCAGCACCGGCCTCCCTCTGCTGCTCGCGATCTGGCAAGTCTTTACATACCACGTCGAGCAAGAAGTGTCGAGCCCGCTGCTTCAGCAAGAGCTTCTCCAGGAGCAGTGCCATTTGCTCGACTCGATCGCGCATTGGGTGCCACCGCCCGTCGCGTTGGCCAAGGAGGCAGCGTTTGCTGCCTACATGGAAAAGCATGCCAAGCGGTGGCAAGCGTCCATGTTCCTCCTCATCGACTGTTTGGCGCTGGACCACGCCAAGCTCACGCCGGCCCGCGTCGACTTTGTCAAGCGCGTCGGCCGCTACATTGAGTGGGAAGGCATGGTCGCCCACGACATGGCCCGGTACGAGCGCGCGCTCGCGGCCGCCGACGAGCGCAACGTCTGCGTCTGGTTCAAAACGACCTTTTGCGCGACGACCGACGTGAGCGACGCGCTATACGTTCCGTGGCCTCTCGGAAGCCCACGCGCAGACGGCGCACACTGCGCTCTTTGCCAACGCGGATCAAGACACGGCGGCGCTCGTCCACGTCGCAGCGCTCGATGCGATCATGAGCTTCATTCACGCGCATTACGACGGGCTTGGCCGCAAGATGTCGTCTCCAAGACGACCGTCGCAAAAAGACGACCGTCGCAAATGTGTAGTCGCCGTCGTGGGAAATCGTCACGTGCGTGTGCTACCATAAACATATATATATAGAAAGACTAGCCGACAAGATTGTCGTCTACCTGAATGGCCAGCGCCGACGCGAGTGACTGCGTCGCGCCGTCGAACGCGAGGACGGGCACGACTGGTGACGCCGTCGAACGCGAGGACGGGCACGACTGGTGACGCCGTTCGAGGCGGAAGGCCTGGCATGGCAGCAACGTGCGGTGGCACGGCGGAGCATCGCTTGTCCACGTAGACGTCAGGAAAGAGGATGCGCCATGACTTGAAGGCCTTGAGCGTCGCCTCCTTGACGGCCCACCTACCGAAGCGAATGGCGGACGGCGACGGTGGCCGAAGACGTTACCGCGAGGCGAGGAACTGGGTCTGGTTGGTCACGCCCTGAACAGAGTCGTCGGCGAGCAGCCCTTGGAAGTGAGCAATCTCCTTTGGATGCAGATACCGCTTCAAGAAGCGGTCGCCGTACGCGCAGTAGGACTGGCGCAGGCGCGCGGTCTTGACGAGGTCGACGCCGACGCCGTAGATGCCCATGGAGCTGGCGGCGGATTGGGCAATATCCTAGCATATCCTACGATTACAGCCAATCATGATGCATATTGGTCGGCTTTTTTCACCCCATTTAAGCAAGGAGCGACCTGGGTCCTGGACACATGGCACGCTGCAGTACCCCATATGCGTAGCATGCTCGATACGATTCAACTCGAGAAAAGAGGATGCTGCATGGCTAGCAAAAGGACAACATAGCCCTGCATGTACCGAATGGGAAGGGCCAACAGGTGCGTGAAATTAGTGCTATGGAGCTTACCATGGCTCAGTGCACCAATCGCTTGGCGGCAAGTCCGTAGGAGCGTTGGGATTGGTTGGAGAGCTGTGCATTTCGCCGCTTTTCTACGAATCAAATGCGTTGGAAGTTGAAACAGCCAAAACAACCCAGCGACCCAAATATATACCCGTATATCCATTTTCACACGACCCGTATCATGGACCGCGGGCGGGACGTCATCGAGCGTCGTGACGGCCGTCGCCAACGTCAAGGTACCGGGCACGACCTCGAGCGACTCGGCTATGGAAGAGGCCGGCTGCGGCTGCCAAAAGCTCACCAAGAAGCAACGCATGATCGGCTTTGGCATCTGCTTCGGCCTTGGCTACGTCATTAGCTTCATCGTACGACCGCTCAGCCTCTCGTACCCGTCGTCTCATGTTGCGTGAGCCTAGTCGACCTTTGCGCTGCTTGCTGGGTCGCGCAACGGTGCCAAGTTTGGCATTCTCTACTCGCTCGGCAACATCATTGCGCTCTGCGGGTATGGACGAAGTGCTGGGAATGAGCACCGCGAATGGCCCTTCTCTAGGTCAGGCTTTCTCGTCGGACCGGCGCAGCAAGTCAAGCTCATGATGAAGCCCGTTCGGCGCATTGCCGCCGCGATCTACGTCAGCATGATCGTGCTTGTCCTCGTGCTCGCCATTCTGGTACACTCGTTCGGCAACCATCGTTGGATCCAAGCATAATACTGCCTAGGCACCGCACCTCGGGCTGCTTATTCTGATCTTGGTGATGATCCAGTTTGGCGCCGCTGTGTGGTACGATCCTTGCACATGAGGCCCTTCCCTGACGCCATGATGCTGCACAGGTACTCGGCGAGCTACATTCCGTACGGCCGCAAGATGATCACGTCGCTGGGCTCGAAGTGCATGAAGTCGATGGCGTAGACTTGCCTCACAAATACACGCTCCGAATTACGCTGCATATAATGATGTCCCTTCCATTGCCTAGTACCCACGCTCCCACTCGACCAAGTAGCTCAGCGCCGAGTTGGAGAGGTACAGCCACAGGTTTTCAAAACACGTCCGCGACGTCCTCGGCCATGCTGAGCGCAGCAACATGCGGCGTGATCGTCACGAGCGGATGCGTCCAGAGCACCGAGTCGATCGGGAGCGGCTCGACGGCAAACACATCCAGGACAGCACTCGAGAGCCACTTGCGCTTGAACGCGTTCACAAGCGACGCTTCGTCAATGACGTCACCGCGGCCGACGTTGATAAAGCACGCCTTCTTCTTCGCACAGACCCGGAGCACGTCGCCTGAGAGGCAGTGCCGCGTCGCCTGCGTGCTCGGCAGCACGTTGACGACATAGTCGGCGCGGGACAAGACGTACTCGAGGTTTTCCGAGACTTCAATGCCGCAGTCGATGCCCGCGTGGTGCGCAATGTCCCGTTTGAGACCCACGACGCGAAAGCCGGCGTTGAATACAAGCTTGCCGATCGCCATGCCAATGTCGCCAAAGCCAAGGATGCCGACCGTCACCTCTTTAAAGTGCCGGTACCGCATCTCGAGCGGTCGGAACTCGCGCTTGGCCTGGAACTGCACCGCGTGCATGAAATGGCGCTCCTTTGCAATGATCCACCTGCCAGACGCAGAGGTCGATGAGCTCAGATGCGAAGCAAGCAAAAGGTACCCGAGGACATACTGCGCCATGTGCACGCCCATGATGCCGCCGGCGCGCGTGAGGGCAAAGTTGCGCTTCTCTTGGTGCAAGAGCGCGTCGACGCCAGCAAACGTCGACTGCATCCACTTGAGATTGCGCGCGACGGGAAGGACCTTGAGACACGCCTTGGGGTCCCCGAGAAGCACTTGCGAGTCTTCAATAAGCTTCATGAGCATCGTGTCTTGCGGGTCGATCTCGGACGGGTTGATGGGTGTGAACGTGATGCGCTCGAGCAGCTGCGGGAACGACGACATCTTCTTGAGCACAACGTCGCACAGGTTGGGGATCGTCGAGATGACGGGCACGTGGATCGTCGCGTCGCTAATGTAGTGGCCTTCGTGCGGCTTGGTGAGCTGCGCGCTATATTTGCACATGAGAAACGGAGATCGTCTTGCATGGCGATTGCGCGTACCTGTACAGTCGCTGGAGACGGTAGCCGCCGACGCCGAGGATACCACGGATCTCAATCTGGCTCAGCCCCATGGCCATGAGGTTGCGGATCATCGCGTTGGCCTTTTCGTACTCGTGCTCGCCGAACTTGGACTTGAGCGCAGCGTACTCGGTCTGAATCTCTTGGACGCGCTCGATACCGAGCCGCTCAATGACTCGCGACGCAGCGCGCGTCGTCTTCATCTCGCTCGTCAGTGGGCACTTGGACGGTCGAAGCGGCTTCATGACCTTACCCATCTTGTCGCCGCCCTTCGTATGCTTGGCAATCTTGCGGTTGAGCTCGACAAACTCCATCTCGTCAAACTCTTCCATGTCTTCGACGTTCTGGCCGTCGTGGTCGCCGGACTCGGCGTGGCCGCTACCGTCCGCCGCAGACAGATGCATGAGAGAGTCGTCGCGTAAGCTGTGGGCCTCGTCGAGGCGGCGCTGGGCCGCGTACTCGTCGGCCTTGGCCTCGTCCATCGCTCCTCGCCTGGTGTATTCTTCCGAAATCCCCGTGCCAATATGGTCGAATTAGGACTTTGTGGCCTCAACATAGGTCGACTCGGCCAAAAATAGCAACCATCTGACCCCAACGACCACTTGTATTTTCTATTAAACATGGCGCCCATGCTTAAAACTGGCATGACGCCACATTTCATTTGACGTGGCGGTTCAAGTGCAGTTACGCCATGCCCGTCCCTGGGTTCCCGTCGCTCGGTGTCTCCGCCGCCAGCCTCGTGGCCTGGAAGGACGAGCTGATGGCGCAAGGACGCCTATCACCGTCGATGACGACCAGCGACGTCTGCGAAAGCGTCGTCAAGCCTGCGACATTTGGCCTCAATATGTCGTTTGCCGAGACGATGGCAGCGCCAGCCATCGCACCGGCGACGCACTTTGTATCCCATGCGTGGAAGTATGCGTTCGTGGACCTCGTCGCTGCGATCGAGATCTTTGCACTCGCTGAAGGCGGCGAGTACCCGTACTTTTGGCTCGACTTGCTCGTCGTCGACCAGCACAACGCGCCGAGCCGGCCGCACACGTGGTGGTCCACGACGTTCGTGTCGGCCATTGGCGCCATTGGCAAAGTCGTGCTCGTGTTCTCGCCGCTCTTGGATCCAATTCCGCTCTCGCGCGCGTGGTGTCTCTGGGAACTCTACGCGTCGATCCAGGCCGAGGCGAGCGTTGCGCTGGCCATGCCCACGGAGCAGTGGACACAGTACCGCGTTCAGTTGCGCGAGAACCGCCATGCTGTGCTGCAGTCGGTCGAGCACCTCGATGCGCGTCGCGCCGAGGCCTATAATCCGGATGACAAGGCGGCGATCTTTGCGGCGATCGAGGCGATGCCAACCGGGTTTGACGGGCTCAACGACCGCGTCCGGCAGCTCGTTGCCGGCATTCTCCTCGTCGGCGCTGCGCGGCACGCGTGCCAAGACGGCGATCTCCACGGTATCGCCGACGTGCTGGCGCTCTCGCCCAACGTCGACTTGATGACGTCGACGTTTACGCCCTTGGGCATCGCGGCCGATATGAACTCGCCACTCGTGGGCGACTTTTTAATCGGACGCGGCGCCGACGTCAACGCGCCGATGGTCGGCGGTGACACGCCGCTCCACGTCGCATGCCGCGCCGGCAACGTGGACATGGTACGATTGCTTTTGCTGGCCGATGCCGACGTGACGCGTTGCAATGCCGCGGGGCGCACGGCACTGGAAGAAGCCATCGACGCCACCGCGTCATCACATCCTACTGCGATGGCCGCACTCTATGACGCGACGTCATCCTTGGGGCAGGCCAAGCGATCGCAGCTCCAAGCTGCGGTGGACGTTGCGGCCAAGGCGCTCTCGTCGCTGACGAAAAATGACGTGACCGAGCTCAAGTCGTTCAACCGACCGCCGCAGGTGTGCGCTGTCGTCATGCAGTGCGTAGTGTTGATATTGGGTCTTGCACCACCGTCAACGCCAACAGGTGACTACTGGGAGATCGCCAAGCGCAAGCTCTTTTCAAATCCGCACTTTGTTAAAGAGCTGCTTGGCTTCGATTTCGTCAACGAGCTCGAAGGCACGGACGCAGAGGTGATCCCAGAGGTGCTGGCGCTCACAAACGACCCGCTGCTGGACCCGACGACCGCCAAAAATGTCAGTGTGACGATGTGGGCGTGCAGTCTCTGGGTGCGCGCCTACCTTGTGGCGCACGAGCTCCGACACGACGTTGACGCTAGCGCCGTGGCGGCCCATGCAGCAGCCAATGCGTCCGACGCGGCATCCGCCGACGACATGGCCAACGACCATGTTCGCCGCTGCAAGGAGTGCATTGAGGTTCTCCAAGAGCACATGGCGAGAGCTCTCTCTCTGGCCCAAGCGAGTTCTTGCCCCGCGCTCGACGAGGATACCATCGGGCCCGAAAGACTTCTTACGACAGAAATGCCTGCCGAGTCAACCACCGAAGGTAACGCACCGGAGATGGTGGTGTCCGAGTCCCCCTTGGAGGTTCCCACGTAGTGGTTCAAATAAACACATGACACGAGTCTCGATTGCATTTCCTACTTGCGACGAAGGGCATGGGCTGACTAAACAATCCATAAAGGGTGCATGAATGTTGGCATACCTGGCATGACAGAACCTTGGATCTATGAATAGCTTAAAGGCAAAATGCCCAAGGACAGGACCGATGAGAACGAATCGCGCAAGGCGTCGCTGGCAACCCAGTTTGCGATCACGCTTGCCAGCGAGGCGTTTGCCCATGTTGTGGCCGAGAACGGACCGACGGTCGTCAACTGCCGGCGCCTTTTGATGACGCCGCCCGCCGAGCGTACGCTCGAGGACGTCCACATTGCAAGCCCCTCTTCGTCCGGAGCGATTCCATCCTCATGCAAACGTAGATCAAGGTGTTTTTTCACCGGTCCAAAATTGGCAAGTACTGCAGCCACCTCGACCTGCGTACGTCGTCGGCTCGCGTCCTCTTCGCAGACTCGTTTCGGTAGACAAGGAAACCGAGTTTTACAAGGCGCTCGAGCTCATGACGTTCGAGACGCCCGAGACGCCGATTTTTCGCCAAGTAGCTCGAGCATCTCATTTCGCAACGCGCATCCATGACGCTAGGGCGACGTCGGGGACCGGTTTTACGTGATTTTGTCCGGCCACGGTAGGCTATCATGGCGACTTCTCGTGGGCACCCTTGTTGTATTCTTATGCTAGTGCAAGTGCGCAAGCTCAGCAAGCACAGCGATCCGCCCATCGAACGCGTGCTCTGCGACCTCGAGCCGGGCGAGTGCTTTGGCGACCGCGCGCTTGTCGGCGACGGCGAAGACGCGCACCCGCGCGAAGGTACGATCTATGTAGTTGTCGTCACCGACTAACTAAAAGGGTAGCGACGGTCGTGACGCTTACACCGATCGTCGAGCTTGCGTTCATTGGCAAGGCCGCGTACAGTGCGATTCTACGCGAGAAGCCCAAGGAGATGTACATCGCCAAGCAGATCTCGCTCGAAGTCGCCAAGCGCTTCCGCTCCAACAAGGACATTGTCCGCGCCATCTTTATGCAGCCCGCGGCCGACCGCACGGAGCGGGACCTCAAGTTTGCCGTCGAGTATCTCAAAAGCGTCAAGTTTTTCGCGCGCTTTTCGTTTGAAGTGCGCAAGCTCCTCTGCAAGGCGCTCCGACTTGTGTCTGCGTGGACCAATACGACCGTCTTCCAAGAAGGCCAGCGCGGCCACCACTTTTACATTCTCTTTAGCGGCGCCGTCGAGGTCCGCGTGGCGACAACCAATCGGTACGCACTTCCCAATCAACCAGTGTATTTTGTATATAAGTGTAGGATCAACGAACAAGTCTCGACGGTCGTCGCGACGCTCAAGGAGGGCGAAACCTTTGGCGAGCTCGCCTTGTCGGAAGAAAATGGCGTCCGCCGTGCGACGGTGGTGCGAGCCAAGCCCTTTAGCTCGTTTTTCGAGCAGCATTGACATGGTGCGTAGACGAGCGTCGACTACACGGAGCTGCTCACGCTGAGCCGCGACGATTATGGGCCGCTCGTTCAAAAGTACCAAAACCAAAGCCACACCGAGTACGTGCGCCTCTTGCAGAGCAACCCGGTCTTCTCCGGGCCCGAGTGGGACGTGGCGACGATCGAGGCCATGTGCTCGGTCATGGTCGAAAAGTACTTTGCGTACCGCGGTGAAATTTGCAAACAAGTCATTCCTTTAAATCCGACGGCAGGACGTCATTTTGGCGTTGTGGGTAGGGCTCGCGCGCCAACGAAATGTACGTGGTCGTGCGCGGCGAGTGCGTCGCGAAGCACAAGACTCTCGACCCGTTCACCAAGCAGGTCGGCAATTGGTCGCAAAACCATATTTCGGTGACAACCGAGGCGTAGGACATTCTCATTGAAGTCGCTCGGTATGGCCCCAACACCGTCATGGGCTGCGCCGAGTACTACGCCTCCGTCAGCCAGCTTTCGCATCATGCCGACGTCTATTAGGGCGACGGCCGGCCGCTTTAACGATATTTTTACCCGCCATGCGACCATTTGTGCCGAGAGCCCCGTCAAGGTGATTGCCGCGCAATGACGTCGCGTGACCGTCCTCGTAGGTGCTCGTGCTCTCGCGCTTTGACATATTCCACTTGCTGTCGCCAGAGGCGCGCGCGAGCTTACAGCGCTGCGGCTCGGACGAACAGGTCGGGTCCATTGACAACCGAGTCATGAAGACGATCGTGTGGGAGAAGTACCGAAAAGAGTTTCTTGTCGAGGCGCTCAAGCCGTTGGCGTCGCTCAAACGGCACACGGCGAGCTTGACGCTCGATCCGCTGCCGAAAACCATGAGTCTCGAAGGCCGGCCGCTCCTGCCAGTCGGCGAGCTCCATATTTACGCCAAGCCGCGGCTCAAAGCGTCCGCATCCACCGGCAGTCTACCGGCGACGACGCGTCGACTGCACACGAGCAACGGCTCGAGCACGACGCGCGCCAAGCGCGATAGCGACGTGCACTTGCACGGTACCCGGCGCATTTCGCTCTTGCCGCCCACGATGGCCAAGCACCGAGCGTCGACCGTCGATGTCCTCGCCGTGGACCCTCTCGACGGCACCTGCGTCAACGATGCACCCGACGACCTCGACGACGACGACGACGACAAGCCGCTCACGCACTTTAACCCGCTTCGCGCATCGTTGCCAGCGACGCCGCTCCACCACGCGACTCGACAATTCTTATGGCAGCCGCTGCACGGCGTGCCGCACCCGTTTGCACTACTAGGGTACGCCCGGCCAACGACCGACGGGCTCGGCGCGATCGCGTTCCGCGTCTGTGGCAAGTTTAACGCGATCGAGCCGGCGCTGCAGCTCTTCCACGCGATTGGCGCCATCGACGTTGCGCAGCCCCTGGCTGGTCTCGACTGCAACGGGTTTCTCGTCTTCAAGGACGGCGACGTGGCCATGGTGCTTCGCAGCCAGCACGGCGTCGTGCTCGAGGATCCAAGTCTGCGCGACACAAAGCGCCGCCTTGTCAGCGATACGCGGCAAGAAAAGGTGTGGAAAGACGCCTTGTCCGAGAGCCATGCGGTCGCTTTGCTCATCAAGCGCGAGAGCGACCCGGTCGTGAGCAGTCAGCGCTACGCGTGCATCGGATTGCCTAATGCGTGGACCACCGACGACGCCCATGTCCACGTGCACGTCTTCCACACGTTTCCAACGCCGCAGAGCGCGATTCGGTACGTTATGTTGCGGGCTTTCTCGGGGGAAATCATCGCATCCGATGTAGACACGCCCGGCACCAAGCCGGTCTGCTCTCTGGGTTTGCCAACAACGCGCTGTACGTGGTACCGCTCTTTGAGTGGATTCACCGGGACGACCTCGAGCGCTACGAAGGTACGACGACGACGATCGTCATCATCCTGGTACAGGGCCGAGGATACAAAACCTAGTGCGCAATGCAGAGCTCGAACACGTCTTGGACGCGAAAACCAATTTTTCAAAATACAGCGGCTGGCGCGCGCGCAAGGAGGCGATGCGGAAGCGCCAAGCTCACCACTTTGGCAAAGCCGTGCCTACCCCCACGGACTAATGCTCGCAACAAACGACTTGATCGACGACCACGTGCCCTTGGGTTCGCGCGGCGACGAGGCGAGGAACGAGCCATACTCCTACGCAGCAGAGTTACAGCAGACGACGACAAAGCATCTTTCATACGTCCACGTCTTCGTCTTCCGAGAGCAACGACTCTTCCAAGTGGTCGCTCTTCGGACTCGCCGAGCTGTCCGAGACGCGCACGTTGGGCGTCAAAGCGACGGCCGGACGGGGGGCCACGACTTGGGGCCGCTTGACGACAAAGTAGATGGAGAAGACGACGCAGCTGATCGCGACGCCCATGGCAACGACGAGTTCGATGCACATGACGATTAAAATCATCTTGCGGTTGATCGGCGGCGTGTCGGGGCTGGGCGGTTGCGTCGCTACACCGGCGCGTCATCCTTCCTGTATAGATCCAAGCGAATACCATCGGCAAGACCCATGTTGATGGCGACGGACGCCGCAAGCGTCGACGAGAGACCCGTCGTCGTCGTGAGCGGCGCACCGGACGTCGCATCAAACTGGTCACAGAAATGGTACTTGTCAACGGACGACAGAAGCGCGAAGGTCTTTTGCAAGAGCACTTGGGCCACCCCCAAGAACGAATTCTAGCACACCCAGTGAACCATCATGAGGCGTCGTCGCCGTCGTACCTTGAGGAAGCCGCGGTAGGCAACATAACTGTGGACAAGCAGCGTGATGCGCGGCACGTCCTCGACCGTGTCTTCTACACACACTACTGTCAACGCCTTGTCCGACAAGGGAGGGCGTACGGCAGGGGTATAGAGCCATGGGAAAATAATCGCAAAAAAAGTTGAAGGTTTGGGGCGTCGGCAGAATATGACCGAGGAGGCCAATCTGCACCGTGTCTACGCGTGATACGTGTAAAGGCATGGTGATATGCACGTGTACCTTGGAGCTCGGTCGCGTACAATGGAAAGAAGCCCTGCACGGTGGGCGACATGGCGTGACTGCTTTGGAAAAACTAGTAAAAAAGCTCATGCCAACGCGCGCGATCAGAGAGGCTTCGAGTACCTTGGCCGATTGGTTCCAGAGACCGTCGGGCCGTGGCGACTGAAGCCGAGCTTTGAGCGCGGTGACCGATCGCTGGAGCGCGTCAATCTCGTGTGCGTGCGGGAGGCCGTCGTTGCAATCAAAGCGAAGCGACCGCGACGCGTGCTTGAGGAGCAGCGTGGCCATGTTGAGAAGCGCCTCGGACGACCGCAACACGATCGCATTGAACTCGACGTCGAGCACGTGCACGTCCGTGGCGCACCTACGTATTGATACGACTTGATACTACTACTTGATACTTGATATGTGTACTTGGGTGTTTTGGAAGCGCCGTCAAAGCAACTCGCGAGGTACAACATGGGCTCGTAGAGGTCTTGGACGACAGACGTGTCGCGGGGGTAGAACCGAGACGCCGCCGCCGCGTACGCGCCTTGGGCAGTCGCGGGAATGTTGAGGCGCTTGATGACCTGCGCGTAGTCGGCAGCGAGCTTCACGGACGCCAAGGCGTCCTTCCAACCAGGCGCGATGGTTGTCATGCTTTCCCACGGGTGCTACAATGAAAGATGAGGACGACAAGGAAAGACGATCGAGATGACCCGAAGGACGAGGAGCGAGTCGTTTGAGGCTTGACGCGATGCAAACAAGTAGTCGTGGAAGCGCCGGAGGGGCGAGTAGACGTCGCAGAGGAAGACCATTGCGTCGTCTGTGTACACGGGCGTGCCCATAGATGTGTCGAGTGGCGCGAGATAGAAGATGCGCATCGCTGTCTCCGCGTGCAGCGGCGGCGCAAGGAGGCCCGACGTCGGTAGCGATTTGTTCGCGTCATCGTTGTGTTCCTACTGTGCATTAGCACCACTTGCATTGCGACGAGAGGTCATGTCGTACCGAATTTGACCAGAACGCAGGACCTGGGTAGTACGTCTTGTTGGTCGGCAGCCAGGCGGACGAGGCGCCGACAGATGGCCCGTAAATGACGTCGGGCATGAACCCGTTGCTCCATTGATGGCGCATGAGGGCGCTAGCACAAGATCACGACCCCATCAACGCAGCAATGTGTCCTACGTGAACTGCTTGGTGGCCAGCGTAAAGTTGCGGTGGGCAATCGCTTGGGCCGCGAGCAGCGCGTCCCGGGCTTTCTAATGCCACGTCGATGAGCGCCGACGACGGAAGCATGCATACAATGTGCTGGAAGCCAATGCTCTCAATGGCGCCAGGTGCGGTCGCGTGCATCTGGTCGTCGTAGTTGGCCTCGAGCACCGCGTACGCGGCCTTGATGATCGCATCGAACTGCGGAATGTCGTTGGTCACGTCGGTCTGGTTGACGAGGCGCATGGCGCTCATGGCCTCGCGCGCTACTATAGGCGGTGGCATCTCGACGACGAGCGCTGAGAGCGTCGCGCCGAAGCCATGGAGCAGCCCGAGGACGAGACCCGTCTTCATGCTGCCTCGCGATATCTTCCTCCTTGTGCTCGGAATAATACCATCGCGCACTTCATACAAACACGCAATGTATTAATTTAATTCTTTACTTGGCAGGTGGAAGGAGGTCAGTTTATTGCCGGCTTTCGATTTTGGACGCAATCAGCAAACGTATGCTCGCTTCCGACAGAGGTCAGTTGATTGCCCATTGCGATCTTCGACTGCCATGTCCCAGCTAGCAAGGAAGCCATGGAACCGTGCATCCTGGCACACAGCCTGCAGGAGCGCGGAGGCCGCCGCAGGCCACAGCAGCGTACGTCCTAGTCACGTGCCATGAGGTCAGGAGCGATCAACCACAAGAGACAGGCCATGAACGTGCTGCCTTGTGGGGCGCAGAACTTGCCGACGGCTCCTGGGAACGGACATGGGCGTGTGGATCACGAACGGCCGCGACGAGGCGATCGAGGTCGCGACCGTTGAGCGAGCGACGATGCGCCAGCTTCGGGACGCGGCGCAAGCCCACTTTGCACTCGCGACCGACGGAAGACCGCTGATGCTCATGGCGAGTGACGGTACCGAGCTTGACTTGGCGTGCGCTGTGCCCGTCGCTTACGCTCGCCACTGGGTAGCGCCTTTGCAACTGCGCCCTCTGCCAGACCCCACGGTCCCCAGCGCAAACAACGAGCGTGTAGAAGGCAGCGTGCAGCGATGCGTCCTGCCCAAGACAACGAGACCGTACACTCTCCAGCTACTCATGAGCCGCCTCCTTCGTCCGATAGCGCACTGCATGGCCGCACCGCGCGTGGCAAGTGAGCGAGCACTCATCCTACCAACGCGGTCGATTGAAAACTATGGCTCCAACGACACCGACGCCGGAGGGTCAGTCCCTGCGACCCAACGAGAAGCAAGTCCGTCGTACTAGAATGTAGAAGCTAATGCCTCTCTCCAATACTCTTGGTTTCACCCAGGTCATACCACCCCGCAATCTACTAGTACCCGTGGAGCGGTTGTTGCTTGCGTATTATGTATGCTTTGTCGTTGGTCGGTCCATTGGTGGGTGATGACGAGGTTGCGAGAAAGGGAGAAAGCCGTTGACGCCGGGTCCCACTTCGAGCCTCCGCCCCACACGATGCTATCGCCGACTTGCCATGCCGAGCGCACTCTGGGTGCTCTTGCCCGATGCGGTGCCCGTTCTCGTTGCGACGCCAACTTGCATCGATGCGTCCGACCTCGCGAGCGTTATCAAGCGCGACTTTTACGCTACGATGCCGACGCTACACCTCTCGGTGCACACCTTTGACGGTCAGCTGCTGCACGCACACGAGCTCCTGCCGCACTTTAACGGCCCAGAGAGCCCTCTCCACATCGCTTTGCTCGAGCCAGAACTGAGTGCGGTCCAAGAAGAGCCATCCCACCTTCGCTTCTACAAGGACGTCGATCTCGCCCGGCTCGCCGACATTGCCGAGCCGTCCAAGCAGCACCTCGTGCTCTTGCAACCGATCCCGGGCTCGCAGCAGACCCGTCTCTTCGTCCGCTCGATCTTTCGGTCGCTCGTGACCGAGATCCTCGCGGTGCCGACCGTGCTGGTCACGGGGCCGGGCAAGTCGAGCTTTCTCATCTACCTTCTCTGGACGCTCGTGTGGACACGTCATCGCGTCCTCGTCTTCTTCAACGATGACGTCGTGCTTTTCAATCCGCTGCACGGCGTGGACGCGATCGAGGTGTTGCCGCCAATGACGGACGACGTGTTTTGGGCCATGGACCTCTATGTGCTTCACGATGCGGCCTCTGTCGATCTGGACGCGATTCCGTTTGGCAAGGTGCATAGCGTCCGTGCTGCTCAGTCGGTGATATCGCGCTGTGCCCTCGCTACGACGCTCGTCGCGCTGCCAGACTGGGATGCCAAAGAGGTGGCGATGGCAACGACCACGTGCGGCGTGCGCACGGCCGCGCCGCTCCAACGCTTCGTCTGTGATCCAGCACGTAGTAGCTAGACACCCCAACGAATCCATCCAGCGTTCGACAGCGTTCGATAAGCGGGCTCGCCAACACGTCGACTTTCCATACTTTTGGCCTGAAAATAGAGATGACGTGGCAGCACGAGCGACGCGTGAGGCAGAATATCGAACGGGCCTGTCTCAACGCCACGATCTCGTCGACCGCCCACGCGGTCGAAAGCTGTCTGCATTCTCGAATTTGCAGCCTCAGTGAGAGACAGCATGGCTATCGGCTTTGGGTTGGAGTTTGTCAACGGCAAGTGGGTCCTGCGCTCGCGCCCGATCGAGGTGCCCGGCGCTGGTCGCGAGGAGCGCTCGGCCCAAGAGGCCGCCATCATCGACGCGGTCGAAGACGCCATTACCCGCTCGCTCCAGGACAGTCTTGCAAAGCGCAAAAGCCTCAAGCCGTTCTTCCTCGCCCTGCCGGATACTGCACTTGCCTACGACGGTCCGTGGCTCACCTTGACGGTGCAGCACCCGCTTTTGACGGATATGGCCAAGATTTACCTGCGCCAGTGCTTCTTTGACGTGGTCGACACGCTCGTTAGCACCAAGATGATGATTCTCACGGGCGACGATGGCGTCGGTCAGTCGGTCTGCCTCCTGTACCTCTTGTGGCAGCTCGTCGTCCAGAAGACGCCCCGCGTACTCTACCTCCACGGCGACGACACGGTGCTGTACGACGGCCTCCGCGGTGTCTTTGAGTACGACACGGTGGAGAACCTGCCCCACACGCACGACATTACGTTTTGGGGCAGCCTCAACGTGCTCGTCGACACGAAGGGCAAGACGCCTGCGGACCTGGCCTTTCTGCCGCGCGGCGCGGCGCACCGCTTGGTGCTGGCGGCTGGCCCGGCCGAAATAGCCACCGTGCAGCCCATCTGGGACCAGGCGGTCGTCTACGAGCTGCCCGCGTGGAGCCAAGCCGAGCTCGACGCCCTTGCCGCGGGCCACTCGGACCAGCAGTAGGCACTTGCCCAAGCGGTTATTGACGATGAATGTATGACCTTGCATGCGATGGAATAGTGTTGTCTTGGGTCGAAGGGCGCTGAGCTCGGCGTGCACCAACCTGCCTGCGGGTTGCCTTGGAGAAGAGCAGCAACGAAGCGGTCGCCGGCCACGGGATCAACGACGTCATGACGACTGAAGCAGTTGCATGCGGAACAGTAGAGCAGAAAGATGAATCGATCTACCAAGTCGCTGACGTAGCATGAGGTAGCATGACCAGCCAAAGGTCGGTTGCTGGTTCTTGCTGGAAGGCCGCAACCAAGTTGGAGCACACTTGGCCGTTTGACCTCTTTAAATGCATATCCGAATCCTCTTTACCCATATACACTCTGCAAACCGATACTCCATTGAATTTAAAGCGCAGCAGCATGAGCGGCAAGTACGTCCGCGACCATGAGGTTCATGGATGACGGAAGATGCGTGTGCTAGGTCGAGCGATGCCAAGTGGGCAGGTGGCTACACGGAGGCTGAGATGCAGGCCTTGGCCTTCCGGCGGCGTATGAAGGAGGAAGCGGCGAACCCAGCCTTGAAGCGCGATGCCAAGAAGAAGAAGAAGAAGCACAAGAAGAAGCACAAGAAGACCAAGGTCGACGAGTTTGGCCGCGATATCCCGTCGAAGCGCCAACGATCCAGCTCGATCTCGAGTACGTCGTCGGCGAGCTCCGTCGAGAGCCTGCCGCCGGAGGACCCGTTTCGCCCCGACGTACGTCATTCCCATCCGTTCTACCCTCGATCTGACGTGACTACGATGCATCCTATTAGATGGATGAAAACCGCCACCATGCCCGGTACGGCCGCAACTGCCCTGCATCAGCAGCTCATATGTGATCTAGAAAACCCCGCCGCCAGCCCAGTCGGAGTCGCAGCCGAGGTCGAAGTCGCAGCCGAGGCCGCAGCCATCGGCAAAGCCGCAGTCGAAGCCGCAGTCGGAGTCGCCAACAGAGACGTAGTCGGAGCCGTAGCCGCAGCCGTGGCGCAAGCCGTCGCCCGTACGTGGACGTTTCCAAACGGGACTGGACGCATGACGCGTACATGAACCGAAGCCCGAGCCCGATGCGCCAAGTTGATCCTTTCTACAAACCCGAGCCGGAAGCATGGGTCTCCCGCGCTGGCGGTGTCTACATCCCCAAAGCCTAGCGCTAGCAAGCATACTTGCAGTGTACGATACCGCCAATCTTCTTCGCGATTTCGGCGCCCATCTCCGTTCCGAGCTCATCCATCGAGCTTGTCAGAATCAACCTCGTCGGCCTTTCTCCATCTTCGCTTTCAACCAATTTGCACTTTAAAGTTGGCGGGAAGCACGCGCCAGGCATGCCAAGGGTGCATGCATACTCGCGCCAAGCAAGTCTCTTGAAAAACGCGTTTAAACCGGCACTATAATCGGGGAAGCGGGCAGCGGTAATTGATGCAAAGGCGTCAGAGTATCGTGGTGGCTTGTGCCATGCCTACACTGGAGACGCCACTCGCGGGTGTAGTTCGTTGTGGTGCGTTCAACCCAGTGCGTTTAACCAATCCATTGACGCTTGCGACCACGGCGTTCAAATCCTCTTTAACGCGTTAAAGAGACTCTGACGCAACCACTTGCGTTCGGGAGCCTTCCAACGGCAACCATGTGGTCGGTGGCAGTATAAACGATGGTGGGTCACTTGCCAAGATGAGCGTCGAGACGGCTGGCTGCTCGAGTCGGCGCGGCTTTGCCATCAAAGTGCACCATGAGCCAGCGCCGGCAGCACCTGCGACGCGCGCGCTCTGGCTGAGCTGCGTCCTCGGCGGCGCGTCCACGTCGCTGGCGACAATCGGGTCCAACCCCATGGAGGTCGTCAAGACGCGCATGCAGCTCCAGGTACGTACATGCCATTGTCCTCCATGCGTTGCAATAGCCTCTCATATGGCCATGGACAGGGCGAACTCATGGCACGCAGCAGTACGCCAGGACGCGTGCTCTACCGCAATTTTGCGCACGCGTTGTACACGATTGCGCGCACCGAAGGCGTCGTGGGCATCCAGCGCGGTCTCGCCGCCGGCATGGTCTACAATGTACAGCCTTCGCATGACGCTTCCAGCACCGACGGATCATACTACGTAGGCGATCATGAATGGCCTGCGGCTCGGCAGCTTCGAGTCCTTTCAAAACCTTCTCGGTGCCTCGGACCCGAACGCGCCGCTCTTCATGGCACGCAACGCAGTCGCAGGCGCGCTCTCGGGTATGTACACCAACTGGCGCACCAGAACGGTGCTTCTCACACGATTGCGCAGGTCTGCTCGGTGGCATTGTCGGGTCGCCCTTCTATCTGGTCAAGACGCGGCTGCAGGCGCAGAGCTCGACGTCCTCCGTGAATGCGCAATACCATTACCGCTCCATGGTACGAGAGAACGCTTCTCGCGCGACTCAACCCCATCATCCTCATCCAACCAGACGGACGGATTTCGCCAAGTGCTGGCGACAGACGGCGTCGCAGGCTTGTACCGGGGTGCCGGCGGTCAAATGGCGCGGATCGTGGTACCGAGACAGACCCAAGTGTCGACATCTCGTCACGTCGAGTGCGTAGGTCGGGTCGGGCGCGCAGTTGGCGTCGTACTCAAGCGCCAAAGTGTTTGTGATGGACGCACTGGACTTGGCGCCGACCAGCGTCTGGGTCCCCCTCAGCGGTACCCGTTGCGTGTCCACCCGGTGCTTTGCTGATCCTATGTCTTTTTGCTAGCCTCGCTCTTGAGTGGCCTCGCGATATCCGCTTTTATGCAGCCGTTCGACGTGGTTGCGACACGCCTCGCGAGCCAACGCGTCGACGTACGAGGCCGCGGCGCCTTGTACACGGGCGTCTACGACTGCTTCCGCAAGACACTCGCCGCCGAAGGCGTCGTCAACGGACTCTACAAGGGCTGGGCCGCGGGCTACATCCGCGCCGGTCCCCACACCATGCTCGGGTTCCTCATTTGGGAGCAGTTCAAGGACTATGCGACCGCCCATGGCTACTAGAATCGTCGTACTACACTCTATCTAAACCAGTCAATGTGTCATCAGTCCATCTCTCAATCGTGGTCAAGTTGTCTTTCCCGTTACGTTGCAAGTTTCCTAGTGCTTGAACGAGAAGAGTTTGACGAAGCGACCGAGCTTGCGCGGCGTGGCAATCTTGGGATCGGCACTGGCGTACGTCTCGAGCATGTCACGCTGCGTCTGCTGCGAGACGTGTGCAAACACTTGGTCGTGCACGGCCGAGGTCGCAATGCCTCTCAGCGTCTCGGCGGGAAACGACCGCCGGGCGTTCAAGAGACACTGCGCGACCGCGTCGGTCGTCGACGCCGGCGCGCGCAGCAGCTGTCGAAAGATCGCAGTCGCCATCTCGACCGAGAGCACCGACGTCACGTACATATGCAGTGGCGCCAACGCGTCGCTTCGCCACAGCCAGAGTGCATTGAGCACCTTGAGCACCGCGAGGACGTGGTATGGCCCTGCCGCAAGCGCCTCAAGGAGAAGTGCGAGGAGCGGCGGAAGCACGCCGGCCGCCTCGAGCAACGTCGGCTCGTGGATGCCAAAGGCGACGACGAGGCCACAGACGCCGTCGAGACGATCGGCGCCGTCGGACGCGAGGGCTGACGGCGCGGTGTCACGCACGATGCGCAAGACCGCGTCTTGGAGGAGCCCGCTCAGCGTCGACGACGGCGACGCACAGCGCAAGGTCGCTTGCAGCGTATCGATGACGCACCGATGTCGCGTCGCGGAGAACGACGCGACGAGAAGGGGTACGGTTGCTGTCGCCAGCGGCGCTGCATCCCGTTCGAGGCTCTTGAAGAGTGTTTCGAAGAGCTCCATGACGCTGGTTTGCACCACGTGGCACGCCAGTAGCGGCTGGAAGACCGCTGCCCAGTGCGTTTGGAGGACAGCGAGAAGCGGGTGGCCCGATCTCGAAGTGCGTTCCCGCAGCAGCGCCGACGCGAGCGTACTCAAGTGCCCGAGCACCAGCGACACCACCGCATGGGCTGCTTCGTCATTCGCCGCGTGGGGTAGCGCCGCGACCAGGTGCTCGCACATGAAGTTCGCGAGCGAGAGAACGTGCGGCGCACCTTGGACGTAGTAGCTCACGTCGGACGCTTGGTACGCGGCTTCGGTCGCGCCAATGAGCACCCGCGCGTACGCTTCCAGCACGAGGCGCAAGCTCTTGTCCGACAGAAACGGCGTCGGCTGCAAGTTCGCGCGGTACACGTTCCGCATGCACGCGAGCCAATCAAGATCGGCGGCATCCAGGAGGAGCTGCGGCGCGCACTTGGTCGCGAGCTTCAGGAGCGCGACGGCGCCGATGTGGTCCTCGGCGTTGCGCATGGCACAGATTGGGTCGTCTTCGGCGCACGCGAGCGCGCTCGTGAGGATGCCATGGACGTACGGCAGCGACGCGGGATGAGCGCGGATCCAGGTCGGCACGACACTCAGAAATACCGTGATCGTCCGAAGGAGGGCCCGGGCATGCAGCGTGCGGTCGGGTGACGCCAGCGCATAGAGAACATGCAGCAATCGGGGCATATACGTCTCGTCACTATCTGGAATGCATTTGGTAAGCGCACTCAGCGCATGGAGCGCGGCTTCAATCTGCAACGCGACGCTCGGCGCCTAATAGGAGCAGCCCATCAATCGCTCGCTCTGCGCGCTGAAAGAGCATACCGAGGTGGGGGTGAGCGTCTCGTACGCTGCGAAGATGGCTCCGAGCAGCTCGTGCAGAAACGCATCCGGCGACGCTTGCGAGAGGAGCCGGAGGACCGCGCGCATCTCTTTTCGGTGCTGCACCAACTCGTCCTCGTCCGCCGCTGTCTCGAGCGACGTTGACGCGACGACGTGCCGCAAGACGGATGGAATGTACTTGGCGTCCCATGCACACGCTGCGTCGCTGCCGTCGGCAACCATGCGCGCGCGGAACGCGACCCAGAAATCGAACACTTTGGTCAGCGCCTCGGTCTCGTGGAGGGTCGCCAAGGCGAGGAGCATGTCGAGAAAGGTTGTGGGCATAGGATCGAGTGGCGTGAGGAGCCCACAGACAAGCGCTTGCTCGCCGACGCTGGCAACGGTCGACGCGATCGCAATGAGGAGGTCGGGGCGCAAATCGTGGGCGTTCTCAAACGCTTGCGACCCAAGACGCGTGCTAAACGCGAGCAGCGGCGACAGCAATGGAGCAAACGACGCATCGACGCAGGTGGCGACAATGTCTTGAAGGACATCCAAGATGCGGTCGCTCTCGGGGGCCATCTTGGCCGCCACGTCGCACGCGGCAGCAAGCAAGCTCGATGCCGCAATCATATCGGGGGCCAACGCGCCGTGAACCACCCACGCACCAAAGGTCTCGAGGATGCGCTCTTCGAGGCGTGCGTGAAAAGCACAGAGCGTGTTTGGTCGGCGTGCGACCTGGGCCGACCAGCAGCCTTGGAGGGTGTGCAGCACCTGCGGCGACTCGGTCTTGATTGACGCCACCCACGATTCGCGGTGGTCCTTGCGAAGCAGGAGGCGCTTGTTCTGGATCTCTTCAGGCAGCAGCTGGAGCAGCGTGATGACTGCCATGTCGACTGCGATACTTGGCATCGACACACCCGACGAGAGCGCGCTGAGCGTCGTGAGGACGTCGCCTTCGGTCGTTGAGAGAATACTCACGGCGACGCAGCATGCATACTGGCTCGCAATGAGAGAAGACGTGTGGTTCGCTATCGATCCGTGAATATGCGTACAGAGCTGGGCAAAGCATGGGCGAAGGAGCTCGGACGCGCCGATCGATGCGTCCGACTTGAAGCGCGGGTGGTCGCGCGACCCGCGACTACACAGCGCGCGATAGATGGTGTTGACGAGAAAGAGGTGTTCGTGCTCCTTGAGGACGTCGTCGTCGCTCTGCGACAGCAAGGCCATGCTCACGGGAATGGCCTCCGGCGTGCGCTGGAACGTCTGCAGAAAGGCGTCGGCGCGCTTCCGCTCGTCGGCGCTCCTAGAAAGGTCATGAGAGATTCGAGCGTCAAGTTGTCGGTGCGTTTTACGTGTGGCCGGCGAGCACTTTGCGCACCGCCGTAAGCACCTGCTGCGCCGTGCGCGATGTCGCTGCCGCCATCTCTCTGTTGGTTTGAAAGGCGTCCTCACCGGATGTCCGGATAATGCATCCACCTGTCCCCATCGCGTCCAAGTTCGTGCGGTTGGTACGCGCGCGAACTCGGCAGCCATGCTTTTGATGAATGCAAGCGATATGATTGGCGTTTACGATATTTTTAGGCCAATCAGATGCGACATGATGCTGGCAGCAACGGATTGCCACGCCCGCCGAGGGCCAAACTACGTCTGAAATCGCCCATACTTGGCAGAGCGGTAGCCGTCACATAAAGAAGCAGAGCGCACGATGTTGCACCGCCGTCCGAGGCTCACAACGCCATAACGTGTGAATCGAAGATAAAAAGCAATATGTTTTTAGCACGTTAAAAAGCTCTCGCGACAGCGCGCCAAAATCAAAATCAAATGGATGGGTTTCGCTCGATCCCAGCACAGCGCCACACCATACAAAGCGTGCGCTCGTTTGCTTGGCGAGCACCGCTGTACATCTCCTTGCTGCTTCGACACGACCAATCTTGGCGCTCTGCTGTGCGGAGATTGACTTGATCTTTGTATGCTGCCACCGTGGGGCCAGAAAGGGTGGTACTTCAAGCTCGGACTTCAAGCAGTCGACGGACGCCATTTGCCAAGCGCATCCCCAGGAAGAAGCACGATGATGATGCTCCGCCAGCTCGCGCGTCCTGTCCGCAGCTTCTCGTCGGCCGCCGCCGCTTCCTGCGTCACCTTGGAGAAGCAGGGTACGATCGGTATCCTGCGGCTCAACGATCCTGGTCGCCTCAACGCGCTCACGGCCGACATGGGCGACCGCGTCGAAGGTAATAGACCTCGGATCCACCCTTCTCTCAACATTGCACGTATATGATGCAGAGCTCGTCCAAGAAATCTCGGATCGCGCCAACGAGTTCTCCGCCATCGTGCTCACGGGCGAGGGCCGCGCGTTCTCGGCCGGCGGCGACTTGGACTTTCTCACGCGCCGTAGCCTCGACACGCCGACGCGCAACAGGTAGCAGTCCTTGTCTCTCTTGGAGTCAATTGGCATCGTGGAAGATAGCGTCACGATGCGCAAGTTTTACGGCCGCTTCCTCAGCCTCCGGTCGCTGCCCGTGCCGCTCATCGCGGCCATCAACGGCCCCGCGATCGGCGCCGGCATGTGCATTTCGCTCTTTGCCGACGTCCGCGTGCCGCCAAGGACGCCAAGCTCGGCTTTACGTTTGTGCACCTCGGGCTGCACCCGGTCCGATCTCGCGTTGCATACTATGCATTGACGTCACCTTGGTCACTCTTAGGGCATGGCCTGCACGCACTTTTTGCCGTCGATCGTTGGCCCCGAGAAGGCCAACTACTTGCTCATGAGCGGCAAGGTACCTGTATCGTCTTCTTGTGTCTAGGATCTCATACTGGACTGTAGGTCATTTCGGGCCAAGAGGCGCATGAGTATGGCGTCGTGTCCAAGGTGGTCGAGAAGGTTCATGGCGCTTGCCCAACATCTCGATCGTTAAGGCGCGGGTGTAGGAGGATGTTGTCGCCGAGGCCATCAAGATCGCGCAGGACATGACGTCCGGTTCGTCGGTGGCGACGCGCAGCCTCCTTCGGTCGCTTCGCCTCAAGCAGGTGCGATCGGCACGCCCGCGGTGGCGCATGACGCGGGTGTTGTATGTAGGACGAGGGCCTCGAGCGCGCGTTGTGGCGCGAAGCCGACAGCCAAGCCAACTGCTACGCAACCGCCGACTACCGCGAAGGCGTCGACGCGATCAAGACGAAGCGCAAGCCCAACTTTGTGACGCTGGAACACTTCAAGGAAGAGTTGTAAACGCACTTTTACATGAGAATAATGCCGAGTGGCCGGACTCTACCACTCGAGGGACGCGTTCATAGACGCCGCTTTGTTCTTGGCCACGTTCTTGTGGCCCCACGGGCAGTGGCGGCACTTGTAGCCGCAGCACGCGCGCTTCTTGAGAAAGAGCGCGGTAAACACCGTATAGCCCGAGGCTGGGTCCACGTACTGGAGGAGCCGCGGTCGCACGCCACTTTGTGCAGCAATCGGTACCGCTCGCTCGGCTGCTCGTCGAGCTCCATCTCGTCAATCTCGGCGAGGTCGTCGGCGATGCTTGGGTCGTTCATCAAGTCGTCAAGCGTCAGCGGCGTGGTGGGTGCCCACGCCACGACCGGCGGTACGACGTCGTCGACAAGAGGCGACACAGCGACGTCCTTTGTTGCCGCCGTAGTGACAGGGCTCGAGGGCAAGAGAGTGGCAGAAACCGACAGCTCGTGCAAGCCGCCGGTGACACGGCTGCCATCGTAGCCGCCATACGCGTAGAGAACGTCGTCACTCAAGACCGCGGTGCCATGTCGACAGACTGCGAGAGGTAGATCCGGCAGTGCTGTCCACACCAGCGAGTCGATGTTGAGCGCATAGCTCGAGGCAAACACGCTCGTGCCGTGGGCCGTCGTATGGGACTGACCGCCCGTCACCAGAATGTGCCGCCCACAGACGACAGCCGCGTGCGACGTTCGGGGTGCAGGACAATCGCCAACGCACGTCAGCTCGGTCCACGCCTCGGTGGTGGGGCACCAGACCCAGACGTCGTTGGTCGGTCCGTCGCACGTCGAGCCGCCTATGACAAACATGCGGTCGTCGGCCCACACAGCTGCGTGGTCGGTGCGCTTGTACGGCGCCAACGCGCCTGATTGAACCTCGCGCCACGCCCACGTGCGCAAGTCGAGAAGGTGCACGTCGTTGAAGCGCTCGACTTTGTTCCAGCCGCCAAAGACGATCGCCGTCGACCGTTGCGCGTCGACTACAAGCGTCGGGTTGCCCCGCGGCGTCGGCGCCACGCCCGTCGTGCTGCCGTGCGTCCAGCAGCGCGTCTCGAGGTTGAGAAGCTCGAGCTGCCCGAGCGGACGCAACCCATCTTGGTCCCAGCCGCCAAAGACAAAAGAACATGGTGCCAAAGCGCGGCTGCGTGGTTCGACCGCGCCGTGGGCACGTCGTCCTCGCCGTATACGGTGGTGCACGGCAGGTGCTGCCACGATTGCGACGGCGTCCACTGCCACACAGACGACGTTCGCTGCGACGCATTGTCCTCACCGCCGACGAGATAGAGCGTGTCGCGCGATGCGACGACCGCGTGGGCCGCCAGGGCCGGTGGGCCCGTCGCCTCGAGGGTGCGCCACGCAGGCTCGGCAAATGGCTCTGCGGTCGATGCAAGCACAGACTCGAAGTGCGTCACAAAGGCCTCGCCAGTGGCGAAGCGGGGACCAGTGTACTGCAAGACGCGCACGTGTTCAAGGCCGGCAAGAGTTGCCTTATCGCTCGTCGTCGGATGTACGAGGGCGGCGAGGATTTCAATGCCCAAGATGATACTCGGTCCCGGGCGCGAGAGAACGCCGTGGTCGACAGCAAAGAGTCGCGCCGGCGTCGTCTGCATCGCTGGGAGGTTCCAAAACCCGTCCTGCGAGAGCAAGTACCGCTCCATGTCCCGTACGGTCTCGGGCGCCGACTTGCCGCAACACGCGACGACGATGACATCGGGTCGTGATGGCAGAATGTCGTCAAACCAATTCAAGCGTCGCGGCGGACAGCCCGGCGTCGAGTCGGCCAACGCCTCGGAGCCACCGGCGCGGCGGCGCATATCGGGCAGCCACTGCCCCGACGCCACGAGTGGGAAGACGCTTTCGAGGCCCAGAACACGCGGTCGACCGAGTTGGCGCACGTGAGCGGCCACCGCGTCGAGTCGGGCGGTGAGACGCGCGTGGAGCAGCTGCGCCCGAGCGTCTTCGCCGAGGACGCGAGCAATCGCGAGAATCCCATCGAGGACGTCGGTGACCGTCCGTGGCTTGATGGGAAAGGCCACGTCGCGTGGCAACTGCGCGGCGTCGAGGGCGACGGCCACCGCACTGTCGACCGCGGAGCACCGATCGCAAGCGTCCTGCGTAAAGACGACGCCGGGGCGACACGTCGCTAGCAACGCGACGTCGATCACGTGCAAGTCACGGATGCCTTGGGCGTGGAAGGCTTGGACTTGGGCTTCAATCGCGTCGGATGTCGTCGCCGTGATCAAGCTTTTGGTGATGCGAGGCACACCATTGGTATAGTGCGCAGGCGCGTCACAAAACTCGCTCACCGCGCACAGAAGGGCCTTCTTCTTGGCCCGCCGCGTCGTCTCGTCGTCGTTGTCGGTTGGCAGCCGCGTGTCCCAGATCGCGCCAACGATCTCGGTCGCGCTTGGCTCAAACGACACGAGTGGCAGGCGTCGCTGTGCCGTCGCGAAGAGAGCTGATGCAAAGGCCCGATGCGACCCAAAGTGGAGGTGGCAGTAGGACGCGATCGTACCACCGACGACGACGCCCTCGGGCGCAAACGCTGCGTCCGGCCGCTCCATGCGGCACCGGTACGCTGGCTCGTCAACGCCGGCCAGTTGGACGACCGCGCCGTTGGCATTAAGCCGTGCCGCCGGCTCGCCCTTGTACGTGAGCTCGGAAAAGTGGTACTGGTGGCACGCCAGTCGTGTTGTGGGCGGCAGCTGCAGCAGTGCTGCCAGGGCTGGCGACATCTCGGCCACGCAGTAGCCCATGGTCATGCGTGGTGTCATGCTCACGTCAAGGGGCAGCACGCCGGCCATGGCAAATGCCTTTTCTTTCTCAAAAAGCTTCTGCGAGAGGTACATGAGGCCGCCGCACTCTGCGTACACGAGCTTTCCAGACGAGGCAAACGCGTGGACGGACGCCCGCATCGACGCGTTGGCTTCGAGCGCATTGGCGTGGAGCTCGGGGTACCCGCCGCCAAAGTAGAGTGCATGGACGGTTGGCACCTCCTTGTCGTGCAAGGGCGAGAAGAACACGAGGTTAAAGCCGACGGCTTCGAGCACGCGGAGGTTGTCGGCGTAGTAAAAGCAAAACGCTTCGTCACGTGCGACGCCGAGCCGCACGGGTGGCGGTGTCCTTTCCGTCGCAGGTGGCGTCGATGGCTCGCGGACGGGCAGGTAGATCGTTGGCGGGGATGCGAGCAGCGCGTCGACGCTTATGTGGGCCTCGACGAGACGGGCAAGGCCGTGGATGTGCGTCGCATTGTCTGGCATGTGCAAGCCCAAGTGGCGTTCGGGCACAACGATCGATACGTCCTTCGGGACGCAGCCTAGGACGCGTACCGACGAGGTCAGCGGTGACGACTGCAACGCATCACGTAGCCATTGCGCGTGCGCGTCACCGCCAATCTTGTTGAAGACGACGCCAGCAAATGTCACGTTACGGTCGAACGAGCAATAGCCGTGCACCATGGCCGCGGCGCTGCGTCCCATGCACCACGCGTCGACGACGAGGACCACGGGCGCTTGGAGCCACTTGGCGATCTCGGCCGAGCTGCCGCCGTCCGAGGCCTCGTCCGTGCCGTCGAAGAGCCCCATGCAACCTTCGATGACAGCAATGTCGGCCTTTGTCGTGATGCAGGCGCGATGGTACGCAGCAAGGCACTCGTCGCGGCCCATCATGAAGCCATCGAGGTTCACGCTCGCGACACCGCAAGCGAGCGTGTGGTGCATCGGATCGAGAAAATCGGGGCCGACCTTGAACGGCTGCACGCGCAGCCCGCGCTTGGTGAGAGCCGCCATGAGACCGATCGCGAGCGACGTTTTGCCGACGCCGCTCGAGACGCCCGAGACGACGATCGCCGGCGTGGCCATTCTTGTCAAGAAAGTGCAATGTCGGATCTGGACTTATTTCTGGTCCCAAGCAACCCTCGGAACAGATCATGGAGACCAGACCAGCACCAGGAGCTACCAGAACACAATGCAGTGAGCGACCATCAGTCCCAGATTCCAAGCTTCAAATTGTATGGGCGAGGACTCTAACTGGTACGCGGGCAGCGCTGCTTGGCGCTGCTAAAACCTTTATAAACGAATAGATACGCATCATTTGGTAGAGTGGTTTTCGGCACTGCCCTGCAACTGGATATCGTCGAGTAGCACCAGTGTATGAGTGTATGCCTAGGGTGAATAGCGGACCGCGAAAGTGATTCAGGGCAACCAGTTTGCTTCCCAGCTTTTGCCGTGTTTTACGTGTCGGGCTTAAAGGCGTTGCGGTTGACGTTATCGACCGCAACACAGTGGACAATGCGAATAAAATCACGATGGACTCAAGAACGACTAGTTCGTTGACTAAGAACGTAGCATATATCCTACAAGCCGAGGCTCGAGGCCATTTTCTTGGCTTGCTCCCAAAACACAAAAGTAAAGATCGTATGCGGCCCGAGGCGGAGGTAGTGGGCAGTCCAACCCTTGAACATGCCCCGGACACCTTCGGCGCCAAAGGTTTCCGGAAGCAGTCGACGACGCCGTCATAGAGCACGCCTTTGCCGTTCACAACGTTCTGGCTGTACAAGCGCGTCGAGACCACGTCAAAGGGGTTCATGGCTGTCGTGACCGCAAGGCCCGTCACGAGACTTGCTACGCACAGCCAAGTTAGTTGATGTGTGGCAGGCCCAAGACGAAGATATTCGCACCAGCAAAATGTGCAAGGACGCCGTCTTCGAGGAGCCCGGACGAGAGTACGAGGTGCTTGGACGAGGCATACGTCGACATTTGCGCGGCCGAACCAACCTGGTGACAGCAGCATCGTCACTAAAATGCACGCAAAAGAGCCTAGGTCGTACCGCCACACGCGGAATGGCACCGTTGATACCCCGGTAGAGGCCTGCCACGCCGTCCTTGGCCACGATTTGCCGAAGCCCATCAAACTAAGAGCTTGCGTGAGTATGCTACTGACACTGTGCGTCGAAACGTACCGTGCCCTTGTAATGGTATTGCGCGTTGATGGTCGTGGCGTTGCTTTGAGCTTGGAGACGGGCCTTGACGAGGAAGAACGGGCTGCCAAGCATGGCACCAAGCGCCCCGGACGTCGCACCCGCGAGCATGTTGCGCGGCACGAACGAGTAGTGGTTCGGGTCAGTGGCGCCATAGATCTTTTGCAGCGGCTCGAAGCCGCCCAGGCGCACGCCGTTCATGACTGTCTACGCCAATGCCATCATTAGATACATACGAAGCTATCGCCGAGTGTCTACCTGGTAGGCCATGCCAGCCACGAGGCCACGCTGGATACCGCGGACGCCTTCAACCTTGGCGATTGTGTAGAAGGCGTGGAACGAATTGCGGTAGACGACAGGCGCACCCGACGCGGCGAGCTCGCCCTGCGCAGAGCATCCTGATGCGTGCTGTCGCATGGCAGGCGGCGTACCTGCAGTTGCATGCGCGTCTTGACGACCTCCATCGGGTTGGAGCCGATTGTGGCGAGCGACGTAGCCATGCCGGCGATCGCGATGTTGGCCATGAGGCCGCGCTCGGGCTTGCGTTCAGTGGCCATCGGATCCCGTTCTGGTCGACAACTTGCGCAACAAAACGATTTTTGTCCCCGCGTTTTGTCCCGTGTCCGATCTTGACGAGGTGCATTGCGCAAACTTGATCTTGATGTTTGTAAGGTGGGTGAGCCAACGACGTGGATTGGCTAGAAGAGTTTTCTTTTCAGCCAATCCGAGCGATGAATTCGAACGAGGTTGTCGCCAAGCGTCGACTTTGTCCACTCGCTCGTTCGTGCAAACGAGTCGCATCATCCAGGACATGTGCATGCGCGCCAGCTTCGAATTGAAGGTGTCGTACACTTGACCACAACATGGACGAAGCTTGCAGTTCTTATTGTAGTTTACTCAAATTATTATAGTACCGTGGTAAAGGACTATATTGGTAGGGACTAGATCGTTTCAACAGCCTCGGTTGCGGGGGAAAATATGACGCTGTTGTAGCACCCAAGAATCTGCGTGTGGCTTGCATCATGCATGTCATGAGGATGCGAGATGGAGCCACGCGAAATTCTCAGAGAAGGGTCGCATTGATCTTGGTGCATAGCCACGTCCAAACTGCGTGCGTTTATCCAAATTAATATATTATTCAATACCTTGCATAATGTATGTCCTGCATGTATTGAAAGAAACATCGTCCTGGTGTATGATTGGCTCAAATGCAATCTTCGACAGCCGAAATATTCGCCGTTTTGAACCAATCCCGACACAGAACGTGTGCTCCTTCCACGAAACGGCGCGGTCACTCAGCCCCTTTTGCAGGCGCTTGGTTCTGTCAAAGCCGCACTCTGCGAGTATAGGACCTCGCATGCGACGCATGTGGCGGACGTCGCGCGGTACAAAGCGACAGGGCGCGGTGGGCGGTCGAAAGAATTCGGGCCCCAGAATTCATTTTCTCGAAAATTCCGCCCAATTTCGGTGCGATTTTAGCCAATGGGACCATCACTCGAAGCGTCGGCGAATTATCCGGACGCGACAGCGACCGGCCAGAAGTCGACCATTTCGAATTTCCATCGATACACAAGAAGATGAGCTTTGCGCAGGGTCAAGATTGGGAGGTCCAGGGCTGGAACAAGGCCCGCAGCGGCGGCCGCATCGGCAACGAGTCCAAGGAGGCCGCGCTCAACCGCGCGCGTCGCGCCGGCAACGTCTCGACCGAGGTCAAGCACACGAACGGCCTCAACCGCTCGGCCCACGGCGCCGCTGGCAACATGCGCAAGCTTGACGAAGACACGGAGAACTTCAAGCACGACACGGTCGACCGGTCGCTCTCGCAGGCGCTCTCGAAGGCGCGCCTCGACAAGGGCATGACGCAGAAGGCGCTCGCGACCGCGATCAACGAGAAGCCGCAGGTCATTGGCGAGTACGAGTCGGGCCGCGCGATCCCGAACCCTGCCATCATCTCCAAGATTGAGCGCGCGCTCGGCTGCCGGTTACCTCGTGGCCCCAAGAAGAAGCGCCCCACGACGTCGGAATAAATCGACGACGGAGTAATATAACATAGTCTTGTAGCCACCGACGCAGACTTCCTGTTTCCAGCGAAGATGATGGGCAAGGAAGCATCCTCGGATTCTTCCATTTACTGCTCGAGGACGCTTCCATGTCCTGTTGGAAACAAACGTCATGGCGAACGCAGCCACCATCGCGGGCATGCGGGCATGAAATCGATGCAGTCGAATCGACCTACTAGTACTGAGTAGACGCGATCGATCCCAGCAGAGCCGGCACAGACTTGACCGCCGATGCATGCAAGTCGCTTGTACGTCATCGTATCACAACTTGCGAGAAGACTCGAAAAAGAACCAACCTCGCGATCCGTTCCAGAAGCACGGCCAGTTTCAAAGCGTCTTGCACATCATCACCGACCCATGACCGCGCCGTTGCTGCTACTGGTCGCTCTTGGCAGCCTGCTTCTGCCGGCGTCAACGCGGGCGACGACGGCGGCCTGCGACGTGTGCCAGTACAAGTCGTACGCGTGCGGCAGTGCGTTGGCCGATCGCAGCGTCTGTACCGCAGACGGCCGCGTGCAAATGGACGACGTCTTCTGCGACGCCGACTGTATATGCGCCGATGGCTTTGTCTGCGCCAACCTCCGCCTCGGCCACCACGTCCTCGCCGCTGGCCACGCTCGGCCCCGCTGCGTCTCCGCGGATGGTCTACGCGTCCGGTATGGAGACCGCTCATCGGCGATCTTATCGTATTGGCATGTAGGTTTGAGAGCTGCCGCCACGTGAGCCCGACGGCTCCGCCTGTCGGCGCCTACAACCTCAGCGCATGGCTTCGCTTCCACGATGCTGCGTGCACCACCCAGGACTGTCGCGCGACGCGGGCCGTCGAGCGGCTCCACCAGAGCGGCCGCGTCATCGTTCTCTGGACCGAAGCGCCGTCAACCTATCACTTTATCACGGAGGGCACGCTCACGAATCTCTCCAGCGGCATCTTCCACAGCGTCGCGCAATGGGACGAGGTGCGCGACCGGCTCATTGGCGTGCAGTCGCATGGCATCGACAAGTGGTATCCTCCCTCGTGTTGGCACTGCACGTGGTAATACGTACGTCTAGCTACACACTGCAGACGCGCAACACCAACAACGCCAAGTGCAAGGGCTACATCCTCTCGGCCGAGCACGCCACCGACACTGCGCTGTGGACGACGGATTTGCCGCCGTCGATCTGGGCGGCGGTCGTCGCCAGCGTTCTCGCTGCGTTCGGCAGTGTCGTCGCTGTCGTCTACGTGGGCTGCCACGCGTCGCGGGCCGTGTACGCACCGCGTTCGCGCCCGATGGCACCGACCGCCGAGCCAACGCACCGCGAGTAGGGATTAAGTCGACTCGATTATGATACTCGCGTCGTTGTTGCGAGGGCGTCTGTGCCCATGCGGTTGGCAATGATGGAAAAGAGCGCCTACTGTCGTGCAGAGAAGGGAGCGGGCGGGCGTGCGGCTACCTGGACACGAGGACAGGCGAGGTCTGCGCTCGAGAGCTGCGAGGCAATGCCCTGGATGACGACTGGGGTCAAGACACAGTTGTTTTCGACCACAATCCGAAAGAGCGAGAGCACGTGGAGCTCGGACCGCGTCATCTCTTGGCGGGCGTCTTCGTGGGCCCGCAGCATTGCGCCAAAGGTACTGAGCGTCTATGAGTGCGCAAGTGCGTCGCCTTGTCGAGTAGAACGGTAGTCGTACGTGGCAGAGCTCGAGCAGTCGTGCCTTGTGCACGCGCAGTCGTCCAAGATGCTGGTCCTTACTCACTTGGAACGACGGCAAGTTAGTGTCGTTGAGACACGCCGCTTCGAGCTTGGACGCGTGCAAATGTTCTCGTTCGGCCCAGTGCATGGCTACACATAGTAGTAGTCGTGGTAGGTCATTGTAGCGGCGACGAGTGCGCACCGAGCTTGGCCGAGAGGTTGAGCTTGAGGTGGTCTTGGTTGCTCCCAAAGGCGTCCGAGAGGTTGGCGATGCGCTGCTTCTTGGCGGCCATGCGTTGCTTGAGCCTAAGAACTTTGTCTTATCCGCTCGTGTTACGTTCTCAGCGCAACCGCTTGTTGAGCGTATGCACGACCGCATCGTCCATGGACGCAGCGAGCTTGGACGCGTAGAGCGGTCGGGCTCTACAACGTGCCACGTCATTTGGCGATCGCTGTCGAGATCGTCGAGCGTACCGTCGCGGCGCGCCCAGTTCCGCGCTGTGCTGCATCTTGCTCTGGCGGTGGCCGCTGCTGTCGATCGTGTAGCAAATGCCGCGTGGCGTGAGCGATGCTGGCGCCGTCGCGGGCTTTACCGGGCGCATGGGCGCCGCGCTTGGGGGGCTTGGGGCGAGGGCGCTTCGTGTCGGGATGACATCATTGTGGCGCTGGATCGGCGGCATCTCGGTGCCCGTGTCAAAGAACTGAAGTGCCGGCACGGGCGTCACAAAGCTTTTGCTGATGATGTCGAAGACGGCGGGCGACAGCTCTTTTGGGCGGGATTGGTGCAAAACGAGCTTGTTGGTCACGTTCTCACGCATCGCGCGGTCCTTGCGCCGCTTCCGCGCCAGCCACACGTGGGCCACTAGCATGGGTTGTGAGCGGCGTCGACGATACGAGATGCTAGCCACCGGCGCGGAAGGCGAAGAGAACGTTCTCGCTCAGTCCGAGCGGGTTGTCGTTGTGCTCCCGCTCGCGCTGCCGTGCGACAACGGTCTGTGCGGCGGCGCCGTTCCGTGACTTGATCGCGGTCAGCTTGGAGCGCTGGTCCAGGTTGGGCTTGGCGACGCGCATGCCGCTGCGCCGCTTGCTCTGCTTCAAAATTCGGCTCAGCTTGAACTCGAGCTACGCCACGTGGTCGTGCCCACATCCCTAGGAGTTCGTCGTACCCCAAATGCGCTGTCTGAACCGCAGCGGTGGCGGCGTGGGCTCGCCGCCACAGTCTCTTCCTGGGACGCCTCCGATACCTTCATCTTAGCTTCGAGATACTGTCCAAGCGCCGCGACTTGCGTCGGCTCTTCAACATGTGCCTTTGGTTGGCGCGTCGTTGGGCCTTGGAGCCTACGCCTGTCTAAGTCCTTGTGCATTGGAGACAGGCGGCTACCGCGCCCGATGCACGCGCTCGATCGAGATGCGAACATGGTTCTGGATCACGTCCAAGCCATCGCGGCCGTGCTTCCGCCGACCTGGCTGCGACTTGGGGCTCATGCGATGCAATTTTATTGCGTCTTTATATTTAAATACCATGTGCGTGTAACTGCCATGGTCGGAAGACGGAATCTAAAAGAACGCAACTTGGATGGACGAGTGCTACACGAGCCCCGAGCGCAAGCGGCCGCGGCTCCACCGCAGCCCTACCGCCGCTGACGACAGTGACTGTACGGTCATGGCGTCGTCGTCGCCCGAGGAGGCCGAGTCACCATGCTTCTTTGGCGACGACGTCGATGCCATCTTCTCGCTGCCACCGCACATGACGACCGGCGGTCGACCACGGAGCCTCTTTGCCAGCACTGCAAGCAAGGACGACGACGCAACGCAGCTTGCGCCCATTTGTGCAATCGTCGCACCACCTAGCAGCCAAGGCCACGACAGCTACGATCGTCCTCTGCCCTTGTCCGACGACACCCTCGACGGACTCATGCTTGCGCAAGCGTCGGAAGATGCGTCCTCTGGCGGCAACCCGATCGTGTTGTCGCCCGCGTCACAAATGTGCGTATTGTCACACATCGGCGCACTCGCCGCCCGGCCACCGACACCACCACCACAGGTTGCAGTTGAGGTGCGTCCGCCTCGGCGATCAACCCAAGGGTACGGCAAGAAGATCCTGGCGGCGGCCATCGATTGGGACAATTGCAGCGGTGCGCCATCCAGAACCATCACGGAACTCACAGAATTGCTGTGCTAGAACATGCGTTTCTCGAAGAAGCCAGCGACCGCGACGACTGGGCTCTCGACGACCTCTCGGACAGCGATTTCGAATAACAGTAACATGGTCCAACGACTCACTTGAGTGGCTCGTACGCGTCGGCGCCCCTTTGGCTGATGGGCATCAGTTACAGAGCTCAAGCGACGCGAGAAAGGACATAATTCAACCCGCAGCCAGAGGCTCAAGCATGTCGATGACCACGGTTCCGCTCGGTACCCTGTCCTTTCGCACGGCGTACGGCGCTGTCGAGCCGACCACCGTGTCTCGTCGCGCGCCTCGCTTATGGACCCGCTGGGCATGTGCGATCGCGATTGCGTCGCTCTTTGCGGCGTTCGGGTGCGTGCTCACGCTCCAGCAGCACGATGACACCGTCGTCGTCATTGTCGCCGTCGAGGAGCCCGACACACGCTTTGACGCGTTTTATGCGCAGACGGCTGCGATGCGCGACGACGCGATCGATCCGTGCCATAACTTTTACCGGCACGCGTGCGGCGGCTGGCTCCAGAACGCCACCATTCCTTCGGACGCCAACGCCGTCGACACGTCGTTTCGTGTGGTGGCCGATGCCAACGCCAAGCTCATCGAGCACATCGTTCAGTCCAACCCGCCGGTGATCGGACCGCTGTACCAGTCGTGCATCTCGGTGGGCGCTGTCGACGACGCCGGTGTCGCGGCGGTCTCGGCCCAGCTTGCACACGTCGCGTCGCTTACGTCCAAAAACGACGTGTACGCCTACGCTGGCGCACTCTTCCGCTCGTCCCGCGTCAACGCCTTCTTCAGCCTCGAGGTGGTGGGCAACCCGACGAATGCGACGACGAACGTGCTCTCGCTGTCCCAAGGCGGGCTTACGTTCCCCGGCCGCGACTACTACGTGGACGCGCACAAGCGGGCCAAGTACGCGCAGCTTTTTGTCGAGTACGTCACGAGCTTGGCGAGTGTCGACGCCTTTGCCCGGCACAACGTCACGGCTTTCACGCACCGCCTCTTGAAACTCGAGACGTCGTTTGCAACTATGTCGGTCGCCAACGCCGCGCTCCGGGACCCGTGGGCGACATACCACGCCTTCTCGCTCGCGGACCTCGAGGCCCAATTCCCACACGTCGCCGCGTATTTTCGCGGTGCGGGTGTGTACGAGACGCTTGCCAACTCGACGGCGCCGATTGTGGTCTCGACGCCCGATTTCTTTGCCTCCCAGGCCGCGCTCCTGGCCAGTGATGACGTCGACTTGAACACGCTCATCAAGTATGTGAGCTTCCGCTTGATCGACAGCCAGAGCCCTCTGCTTGGTGAGCGCTTTCGCGCTGCGAGCCACAAGTTTCACGGGACGCTCAGCGGCCTTGGCGTCGACAGCACGCGGGCCGACTACTGTCTCGGGCTCACCGAAGCGCACTTGGGTGCTGTCCTCGGGTCCTACTACCTGGAGCGGGTCTGGGACAAGAGCACCAAGGTCGCCGCCCGGTCGCTCATCACTGAAATCGAGGCGGCCATGGGCAATGTCCTCTCCAACGAACCGTGGCTCGATGAGGCGACGCGCAAGGAAGGGCTGGCCAAATTGCACCACATCTTCAACCTCGTGGGCGGCCCCGAAGTCACGCCGCCGCTTCCGTTTGCCATCAACAGCACAGGCTTTTTCGCCAACGTGGCGCAGCTGAAGGCGCACGAGATGCAGATCGCGCTCTCGTCGATCGGTGCGCCGGTAGACCCGCAGGCGTGGGGCCTCGCAGCGTCGACCGTGAACGCCTACTACGACCCGAGCGCCAACAAGATGGTGTTTCCGGCCGCGATCCTCCAAGCGCCGTTTTACTCTGCCCATGCCATGCCCATCATCGCCAACTATGCGCGCATCGGCATGGTCATGGGCCACGAGCTCACGCACGGCTTTGACGACCAAGGCCGCAACTACGACGCCAACGGGAACCTCCGCATGTGGTGGTCCCCGTCCGTGAGCAAGACGTTCGATATCAAGGCCGACTGCTTGGCGGCGCAGTACTCGTCGTTTGAAGTGACGACGCTGGACGCGTCAGCGCGCATCGGGTTTGTCGATGGCCGGCTCACGCTCGGCGAAAACATCGCTGACAACGGCGGGCTCAAGCTCGCGTATTTGGCGTATGCGGCGACCCAAGCCCGTCCGGTCTCGAGGGCCGAGACCAAGTTGTACTTTACAGCGTTTGCCCAGGCGTGGTGCGAGAAGCGGTCCGATGCGTACGCCGAACTGCTTCTTGGCCTGGACCCGCACTCACCTGGCAAGTGGCGCGTGAACGGCCCGCTCATGAACTCGGCGCTCTTTGCCGAGACGTTCCAGTGTCCCGTCGGGTCGCCCATGAACCCACCCCACAAGTGCGTCGTGTGGTGATACGTCCTTCTTTCCAGTGGTCCACTGTTTGGCGTAGTAAACACTGTAACATACACTGTAAAAGACACTGTCAATGCTATGCGCTCGGGTGTGCAATGCGATAGTAGCGAAACTCGGCGGGTGGACCATTGTCCACCGCGCTCTCGTCGTGAATCGCGTGCACGTTCGCGAGTGTGAGGTTCGCGTCGCGCACTGCTGCTTCCCACGCATTGAGCTCGGCGTCAAACCCGCTGCGGACCGCGTTGACCAGGTGCACGGTGGACGTTGGGGCGAGGTACTTTTGGAACACGGGTGGGAGGAGCTTGGCGTGCTCGATCTCGTAGCAACAGTCGGCCGCCAATATCATATCAAACCGCGTCGCATCATCAGGCTCGAGGACCGGCGACCGCCAATCGAGCTTGGCGACGCGGCAGACGTCCCGGACACCGTTGGCCTCGGCGTTGAAGCGTGCATTTTGGAGGACCTCGGGCAGGAAGTCGGTGAGGACGACCTCGGACGCGCCTTTGAGCGCGGCGACAATGCCGACGAGGCCGGTGCCGCAGCCGACCTCGAGCACGCGGCGCCCGCGGACGTCGACTTCGTCCGTTGCGATCGCGTGGGCTAAAACGAGGCTCGCGCCCCAAGTCTGCCAGCCAAAGCCAGCCTCCATGAAGCTTAGCTCACGCAGTGCGATAGGCGGTAGTGACTCGTGGACGTGCACGTTCTTGGTCGGGTGGTCTACGGTGCATCGCGTAGTATGAGATGCACTGGAGACGAGTGTAGTATGCATGAAGTACCAGTGACGGAGGCGAGCGCGCCCCGCACCTCTTCGAGCTGCGCCTCGAGACCTTTGGCGTCGTCGTCGAGGCCGTACTGGTACCAGGTCGACTCGACGGCCGCGAGCCACTGGCGACCGACCTGCTTGAGCGTCATGCGGTGTGTCGCCGTGAGCGACTCGTCGATGGCGGCGATAAAGTGCGCGAGGCTAATCAGAACGCGCGCAACGTCGTCGACGTCGCGCTTGTCGGCGCACAAGAGCGCCGCCATGACCTCGTCGAATGCGCCCTCCAAGTCCATTGTGTGTCTGCCAGCAAATAAGCAGTCGATTTTCACGTAGGGTTAGGGTGACTATATATACAAAGATCAAGTCTTTCCCCGCGGACCACGTCTTTGACGCGGACTGGAACCGCGCGGTGTGGAAGCAGCCACATCCTATGCACTTGTCAGTGCCAAAGGTTTTTTGGTAACTTCAGAACGGAGACAGGATGACACAGGCCTCGCACGAGGCACTTCGACGTCTACATATATGCATGGCTGGCACACCCAGCGGCCCAACATTACGTACTACTTGAGTACACTGATGGACGAAATAGAGCGGCCTGTACTAGTAGTACGCTTTCCAATGTATCCGAGACAAGCGCTGTGCCATACTAGTACGCGTTGGCATCCCCACTTTTATACGGCGAATGTTGCGTGAAGCCGCTCTTCTGGGGCTCTCAGTGCTGTAACCGAGCATAGAGAGCGCTAGGAGTGAGGCCGTTCAAAGGAGCGCGGCGAGGAGACAACGTCGGCGTTTGCAATAGCATCATGCGAGCACTCGCAGCATGTCGATGAAGTCCTTGCGCTCCGGTTGGTTAAGCGGATATCGACAGACGTTGACAATCCGTCCCGGGATATACGCCGGCGACTGGTCTCGTGGAAGAAACGAGATGGCGCGTGTAGAGAGTTCCCCATCTAACCTTTCAAGGGGTAGGGGTGTAGGGTACCCAAAGCTACAACGCACGAAACCTAGTGGCATGTGTCGTGTCTATTCGCTGTAAATAAGAGTACGTCGCCGCTATTCTATGCGGTGCGATGACGTGCGACTCAATCGCGCTTGACCTTGAGCGCTCGCTCGATGGCGACGGCGACCGAGATGGGCACCTTGGCGAGCTTGGGGTGGTCGCGCGTGAAGCGCGCGGTGGGCATGAGCAGCGACGAGAGGCTCGGTCGACGCGCGACCTCTTTTGTCCGGGGGTTGGGCATAATTTGCAGACTGCGCTCAATCGCAAGCTTGCGTCGCTGTCTCAACGCCACCGAGTCGGTTGAGACGACAACTGTCACCGAAACCGCCGGCACCATGAGCCTCGTCGTCGAGACGAAGCGTGTGAGTGCCAAGATGGAGCTCGGGCCAGCGCCGCCGCCTCGCCACAAGGTACACTTGTGCTCACAGAACGAACGCCTGCGTAGCATCCATGGTAGGCGCCGCTGGCGTTGCCCGAGTTTGACGACAGCGACAGCGACGACGATAGCCATGCGCTGGAGGACATTCCGCCGGTCATCGAGACGAGCTCCAACAACCAGAGCGACTTCAAGTGGGACGGTATCAGCGACATTCAGATGCTCAAGCACCAAAATGCAGAGCTCGTGGCGGCCATCAAGAGCCAAAAGCAGCAAATCAACGAGTGCGCATCCTGCAGCGATCTTTCCACGCGTCACGGTGTGCGTAGACTGCAGCTTTTACTCGAGGCCATGGAGCCCGTACCAGGCCTCGACGTGGACTCGTTCAAGGATATTCTCCAAGGCTCCGAGATCGTCGACCATGTACTATATCGCCGCACCATAGGTGGTGCAGAAGGCCCTAACCCTCGACTTTAGGACATTCGCAACGTCAAGATCGTACACCAAGCCAAGAAGCTCCGCCAGGCGACGCTGGCCTACAACAAGGAAAAGTCCCGCGTGGCGGCCGCCAGTGCCAAGATGGCCGAATTGGAGCGTGCGGTCGAGGCGGCGCAGACACTGCAGGGCAAAGCCGAGCGCGCGTTGCAGCGACTTCAACAACTGCCTCGACCCGAGGCGGCGAAGAAGGTGCCGTCGCCCGAGAAGGAAATCGCTGCGTCCAAGAAGCTCGAGGAGCTCAAGCTCAAGTGCGAGGCGCAAGCGGTCGAACTCAAACGCACGCAGCGCGCCCTCCAGCGCGAAGTACGAATGTCATCTTTCGAATCGTCCACTTCAAACATGTCCATGCAGGTGGGCGACGACATAGCGCTGAGCGAGATTCTCGATGCGAGCGACAGCGGGAAGCGAGGCCGCGCCCAGCAAATCGTGATGCTCAAAGCCAAAATAAAAAAACTCGAACGCGCGAATCCAAGTCCTCTCGACGTAACGCCACGGAATACGACTCAATCTCAAATATAAATATGTGACTATAGGCGCCACGGGATGTCGATCGCAAGGCCGAAGACGACCTCGCCGCGACAAAACTTGAGCGCCAAAAGCAAATCGACAAGCTCCTCGACGACAGCAATGCACTGCGCGAGAGCCATGAGAAACTACAGAAAAAATACGACTCGACGAAAGCCCGCCTCCACGTGTTTGAAAAGGACGCGAGCAAGAGCAAGGTCAAGATCAGCGTGCTACTCGAGAAATCCAAGAACGACGACCTCCTCATCGACCGCCTCCAAAGCGAACTAGAAGCAAAAAAGCCCGGACCGAGCTCGCGGGCCCGCACGGCTGACAGCAAACCGCTCGACGCCAATGAACTCGAAGCACTCAAACTCCTCTGCAAGGACCAAAAGCGACAAGTTGAGATACATCCAACGTGCTACGAACTGATGCAGTAGTACGCTCTGTAGCTGGCGCACCAAGCAAGTCTGCTCGAGTCGTTCCAGCGCGACTTGCAAGCTGCGCAATCGACCGATCTCAAACACACAAAAGCCAGTCTCACCAAAGACCAGTTTAGCAATTACCAAGCCTTGGCGGTCTGTAGCGACATTCCGCTTCGTGTGACGAGCAGCGTAGATTGAGAAAGAACGGCTTGTCGAGCTCGTCAAGTCGCTCCAGCAACAGCTCCAAGCGGCCAAGCTAGGTACGAAGCCATTTCGCATCGCCCAAGGTTCGATTTGTGGAGATCCAGACGCACCACCCAAACCATCGGGCATACCGCACCTCCGCAACGACGCGTCTCGCTCGGTGAGGTGTGCATGACTTGCACTACGATGCCACGGTGTCGGTGTAGCGGCTGCCGTCGCCGCGCACACTGGACGACGTTGCAGGTACGGCTAACGTCGTCGCCGGTAGCAACTCATGGAGATGTAGAGCTGGACCGGCTGCGACTAGCCGTCGAAGCCAAGGACGAGGAAATCGCTACGTGGAAAGAAGCCTATGAAGCGGCTGTCTCGGACAAGGTGCGAGGCAGCGGGTGACTCCCCCACTTGATATTGGCTTCTCAGACGGCATCATCCCAGCACAGTCATCTCATCGCAGACCTCGAGGAGGTATGTCGTGAGCGAAAACATCGACGGTAGTTTACACTGTACTAGGAAAATGCAGCGCTCAAGGACGAGTGTTTAAAGCTCCAGAGCATGGTGCGTGCGGCCCGGAAGCGGGAAGAGACACGAGGGTCGTGATACAAGCACCGAGCGCAGGCATCATAGGATTACTGTATGTAATCAATGTGACGTGGCACTACTGCGGCGAGGTTCCTCTGTACCGCGATGTGCTGTCGCGGCGCTCTTGGCGTAGCGCAGCTTCGTCCACGACATCTCGAAGGGCAGAGACTTCTCGCTCGAGGAGTCGGCAGCGCTTGTCCGCGACGACGAGCCGAGTCTCGAGTTCGCGAACTTGCTGGCGGAGCTGGTACGCTTCGTCGTCGGTCGCTTCGTGGCGCTGGAGCTTGGCTTTCAAGTGTTCTCTGTCCTGCTTCCACCGAATCTTGAGTTCGCGCACTTTTTTCTCCAAGGCTTTGATACGCGTGTCCTTCTCGGTGAGCTCCAGCACGAGCCGGTCGTTGTCATGGGTCCGATGCACGTCGTGGCGCTCGAGTTCGCGCCGAAGATCTTCCTCGCGCACTTGGGACTTGCGGTGCTGGGCCTCCAGCGCGTCCAGCTGCTGCTCGAGCGACTGTGCGTGTGCCTTTGAAGACGACGCAATCTCGGAGAGGCAGATCGCGTCCTGCTGCAACTGCGCTATCCTTCGCTGGGCAGCCTCCTGCGCCGCATCACTCTCCGCGTCCCGTCGGCGGCATTCGTCCATGAGCTGCCGGCGCAGGGTCTCAATGCAATGGTGGGCTTCGCTAAGCCGTCGCCGCAGCTTCTTGTTGTCCTTGCTCGATTCGCTGCCCGAGTCTTTGGCAAGCTTGAGCGCGGACAGTTCGCGCTTTACAACGTCGTGCTCGCACGCTTCCTTCTCTAGTTGCCGGTGCATAGCGTCAAGCTGTGCGTGGCACTCTTTCTCGCGCTCGCTCGCATTGCGCTCACTGGCCTTCAGGAGCTCGGCCGCCGTCGTGAGCTGCGCGTGAATGCGGTCGGTGTACTCCTTGTCCTGGCTCATCACAGTCGCCTGCGCAGCGATTCTGGCCTCAAGGTCCATGACCTTGGTAGCAGCGTCGGTCTTATCCTTCTCGAGGCCACGAATGATGGCTAGCACGGTGGTGGCCATGAGCCGCCATCAAGCCGCGACGTACCTTGGAGGCCGGCGACGTCCATCTCGTGGCGCTGCAGCTGGAGCCCGACCTGCGTGTTGAGGTCGCTGAGTTGGCTGCATAAGAGCTCATAGTTGTGCTTGTACTTCTCGAGCGTCCGGACGCGCAGGAAGAGCACGTCTCGGTTCGCGTCCGTCATACCCGTTATGGATCTCGCGACTCCGGAATCCGGATACGACAAACGGTTAAACCTTCAACCATGGGTTGAACGCGATCGCCACGCGTCCAACAATGCGTCAAACTGTGGCGTCCCGTTTAAGTGTGGACAGCTGGTCGGTCCTTGTCATCCGTGGCAGGTGGCAAATAAATCTCGATGTGCTGTAATCAAGCTGTGCCGACTCTGCGTTGCTTCGACACATGCTCATGGACAGCGTCCTATTTAATCACGCGGCAGATTTCTTACGCAGCCATTCCTTGGAGAGCGTACGGCTGCAGCAGAAAAGGCCACGTCACGCTGCGCACTTCTCGCGCCGGCCTGCGAAGGGGCGAACGGTGCCACTGGTGTTGCTATCAGAAATGGAGCGGAAACCTCCGCGCAGAATCCTGCTGCAGCTGGACGGGACGGTAGCCAATGGCCGATGGCCGCGCACTGCGCTTGGCAGCCGGGTGGAAACACGTGCCTTTGGTGGCCATCACATGGCGGCTGCGTCAACGGCGATCCGTCTGGGTTTGACGTCCTCTTGATGAAAAACGCGTCGAGTCGATACAAACGCCAAGTACACCGATGGACTTTAACGCGTCTAGAAAAGTCGCATTTGTAACTGGCCGAGGATAGATCTTGCCATTTGTGTCAATTTACGTTTGCCGCCGCCGCCAAGACCTCATGCTCCTCATGTCGGACTGGGTGCTGAAGCACTACCACGAGATCCCAATCGTCATTGGCGCGGCCCTCGCCGCCGTCCTCCTCGGCGTCGTCATGCTCTACATCTGGGTCGCATCGCGCCAGGTGCGCCCGCGCAAGACCCGCGCGCTCTCGATCGACGCCCGATCGGATGGCACGGCGTCGGCGCCGGGGTCGCCCAAGGCCAAGCACATGCGCAAGCGCATGTCCTTTGACGCGGACGTCGACTACGAAGTCAACGAGCTCCGCGAAGAAGAGAAGGAGCTTGGCGAGCGCGACGCCAACATCATGTGGCTCAAGGCGCAGGTGTGGAGCGAGGACCAGCTGCAAATGTACGCGGGTCTGACCAAGATGTTCTTCTCGTCGTTTGAAAACGAGTTTATGGAGGAGATCATTCGGTATGAGTCGTCGCCGCTCTCTTTTTTCTCACCTGCGCGTAGGCATGTGGCGGCAATCGAGTATGCCCCCGACGCCATCATCTTCGACCGCGCCGTCCACGATGGGTCGCTGCTCATGGTCGGCCGTGGCTCGGCGCTCCTCTCGGCGTTCTACGAAGACAAAGTCTACTCGAGCGCGATTCCGAAGGACGAGTGTCTCTCGTCGACGCTCGTGCAACTCCAAACGCTCTTCCACGACCCGTCGATCGCGCGTCTCGACTTGGAGGCGCGCGCCGGTCCCGAGGGCGCCACGGTCCTGCGCATCGACCAGTCGGTGCTGCTCCAAGCCATGGAGCTACACCCGAAGAACCAACTCCAGCTCGCCCAAGTGGCCCTCGCGCAGCTGGACCGTGTCACGACCCGGTCGCTCATCGACTACTTTGGCCTTGTGCGTCCAATTCGTGCTCTCTGGGTTTGGTTTAACGCAAAAAACGCTAGGTCAACCACGTGATCCACCCCGTACCGCTCTTTGACGTGCCCTCGGACCGCACCGAGGTTGCCCACGTCGTCGCACATGCGCTTGGTCTTGACTTTAAGGAGCTCGAGGAGCAATTCCGCCTCGGGTGTCGGCTCCTTACGCTCGAAGACGGCTGGCTTCTCCAGGACCAGAAGGAGCAGCGCTCGAGCAACGCCGCGGACGTGTACTTTGTCGTCGAAGGCGCGATCGCGGTCGACGTGGCCATGTCCATGGGCAACGTCACCGACACGCTCGTCAAGATGTACGAGGCGACGCCGGGCTGCGCCATTGGCGTGAGCACGGCCATCACCGGTGACGCCGGCATGGTTGAAGCGCGCACGATTGGCACCACGACGGTGTTGCACTTGGACGGCAACGTCTTTCGGTCGCTCCTGCGGCACGCGTCGTTTGTCTCGAGGTGCGACATGGTCATGGATGGTACGATGGACTAAGCCTGTCCATCTTAGTTGTGTCAAGCACGTGCTGCGCCAGTATGACCCGATGGTGCCGATGCTCGACAACTTTTTCGAATGGATCCACCTCAACAGCGGCGACTCGCTCTTCCACGTCGGTGACGAGTGCGACTCGACGTACACGCTTTTGACCGGCCGCCTCCGCGCCATCCAGGATGTACGCCACCATATGTAGGAGGATCCTCCTGCCAACGATATCGAGTAGCACGTGAGCACGACGGGTGCCATTGTCAAGACGAGCAACGAGCTCATGAAGGGCGCGACGCTGTGCGCGCTCGACATGCTCGCCTCCCGGCGCAGGTATTTCCACCCAACAGTATGCCAAGTATCATCATACCTCACACGTCGTCGCAACTAGTGCGTCGACGGTCTACGCGATTCGCGACTGTCAGATCTCCAAGATGCCGCGCGTCATCTTTGACTACATTTTGCGCGTCTACCCCGACGTGCTGGCCCACGTGACGCGGGAAGTCGCGTACCGCTCCACGAATGGTAGCCGCTCCGTGCCCCTCACCCTCTTTTCTCCATTCCGCCTCTTAGCGCTGCCGCAGAGCAAGACGTTTCCGCTGCTCGGCACGCGCAATGCTGGCGCATCACCGCAACTCCCTGTCGTACGTCGCCCCAACGTGCACAATCATCGGTTAATGGTTGTGTGCGGTTAGGGTACGATTGCGGTGCTGGCCGCGAGCAAGGACGCATGCGTGCACGAGTTCAGCAGCATGCTGGCCAAAGCACTCAACACGCTCGCAACCACCGAAGTCGTGTCTTCGCAAAAGGCGATCGAGGTGTTTGGCGGGCAGTGGCGGTCGCTCTCGGCCATCGCGCGCTCGCGCATGTCCAACTGGCTTGCCGAGGTTGAGAGTGTCAACCAGCTCGTCTTGTACGAAGCCGACACGACGCTGACCGAGTGGACGCGGCTGTGCATCCGGCAGGCCGATCACATCTTGCTGCTCACGTCTGAAACATCGGAATTTTGGATCGACGAGCTCCAGGGCCTCCTGCGGTCCGCGTACGAGCGCAAGAAGGTAGGGCCATCCCTGTTTTCGACAGGACGTCATTGGCGTCTTCGTGTAGGTCGAAATCAATCTGGTGCGTCTCCGCCGCGACACGGACGACATGTCGACGCCGATGAAGAAGCTCGACTCGCGCGACTGGATCAGCTACTCGCACAACATTCGCGTGCCGTTCTCAAAGTACGAGAGCGATCTGCTCCGCATCTCGCGGCGGGTGACGGGTCGTTCGATTGGCATTGTCCTTGGCGGTGGCGGCGCCCGCGGCCTCGCCCACATTGGCGTGCTCAAGGCGCTGGAAGAGTGCGGAATTGACGTTGACGTTGTCGGTGGCACGAGGTATATAACTTGCTCTTTTTTTGCGAAAGCTGACGCCGCCTGCATTGTAGTATGGGCGCGTTCATGGCCGGCCTGTACGCCCAGTACCCCAAGGACTTGGAAAAGGTGGTTGAAAAATCCCGCAGTTTTGCGAAATCCATGGGCAGTCTCTGGAAGAAATTTTGCGAGCTCACGCTGCCGATCGCGTCCTTCTTTACGGGCGCCGGCTTCAACGGCATCATCCACCAAGAGTTTGGCGACATTCGCATCGAGGTATATATTTTCTTATTTTTGACATTTTTGACATTTGTGTACATTGTAGGATCTCGTGCTCAACTTTTTCTGCATCTCGACCGACATTGTCAAGTATCGCACCGGCGTCCACCGCGCGGGACTGCTCTGGCGCTACGTGCGTGCGTCCATGTCGCTGCAAGGATACCTCCCGCCGATCTCAGACAACGGGTCGCTTCTCCTGGACGGCGGGTATGTCAACAACCTGCCTGCGGACGTGATGAAGGAAGAGGGTATCAACATTATTGTGGCCGTCGACGTCGGTGGCGACCCCGAGTGGAGCTATTATGAGTACGGCGACTCGCTCTCGGGCTGGTGGCTTCTCAAGAACAAGCTCAACCCGTTTGAGCGCACGGCCCAAGTGCCGTCGATGGGCGATGTCTCGGCCGCGCTCGCCTACTGCTGCTTTGAGCAAACAAGGACAACGTCATCAACACTTGCGTGGACTTGTACCTCAAGCCGCCGGTCCAGCACATTGGCACGCTCCAGTTTGAACGCCTCGACGACGCGATCCAGGTCGGCTACGAGTATGCGCTGCCCAAGATCAAGGACTGGATGCAGCGCCAGCCGCACCTCTTCAAGCTGCGGCGCCAACTGAGCCGCGCGTCGCCAGCGCTTTAAGAAATAGCAACCTCGTATCTTGCGCTATGGAGTCAATTGTTCTTGTGGTAGAAAGTGTAGCGGCTTGGAGCGCTATTTGCGAAGGCAGTGATTCACCCATACCCACGACGACGCTATCTCTATGGATTACGTACTTACTATTCCGTACTCCACCATGGGTCGGGCACCACATCCGTGACCTTGACAGTCCTTTCTCCAGTGACAGACAATATTGTTTGCTACTACGTGTTGGAAGTGCACCTTACATCGTCAACCTATTCAACAATCTATCGCTAAAAATATCACATCTGAGTTGACACCGGCATGGTCGCCGTGGTGCCGTGTGGGCCAGCTCAGCGAATCATCTCTCGCGCCTACGACGTGGCCTGGAACAAGGTCTCGTTGGCCACGAGCTTGCTCCTCCTGCTCAACCTCCTTGCCATGGTGCGGTTTCTATATCACTGCGATGCTTGACCACGCACATGCGTAGCCTATGAAAGCCTACTTGTCCGAGGAGCTTCCGTGGTCACAGATCGCACGGCCAGACACGCTATATCTGAGCCTCTCGTCGCTCGACCCTGCGTTTCTCACGCTCTCCCAAGCTCTCTTCAATCGCGAGACCTTGGCCACCGTCCCATCGTTCTACGACAATACGACCCTCCGCACTGACATTTACCGCGGCCTCGTCGACGTGCGAGAGAAGGCGCCCGTGACACGAAGCGACTGCGTTTCCTACTTTTATGGGGTACCCGGCCTCGTCTTTTATAGCCCATCGTTTCTAGATGTGCTGTGTCCGTTTGCTGCCGTCGACCACTGCAATGCGACGTTGGTCGACGAAATGACGTGGCAGTTTCGTGGCGCGTGTCAGTATTTGACGTTCTTTGGCCTCTTTGTCGGCCAAGGATGCTTGTGGCTCAGCGTTGGCGACGATATTACGATGGCGCCTCCGACGCCCGGCGTCTTTACGCTGACGTACACGTTTCAGCGACCCCAGTACGGTCTCTGGCTCTGGTTCAAGTTTGGATACCGCTGCGGCTTGCTGAGTCTGGTCTTGATCATGACCTGGCGGCGGTACTACCGACACTGCATTGAGCTCCAGCATATCGTACGCGCGCTCGGGCATGCTTCGCCGCGCCCCGACGACGACGACTGGTGCTACGAACTCGTCCTTGGCGATCCGACGGCACTCATTTTGATGGACCCGGGCATTTGCGGCCTCTTCTCGATCGATTTGTGGCTCAGCGCCCAATACATGGGTATTTCCATGGTGCGCGCGGCACAAACCGCCAATCTCTACAGCCTTTTCTTTGGGTTCTTGTACTATTCCCGCACGGTATTCCTACGTATACCTTACCCTACCCTACCCCTTGTGTACCTAGGTCTGGTTTGCCTATTTTGCGCTAGCGGTGACGTCCCACGCACTCAAGCGCTTCCGAAAGGAGCACTTGTTTGCTGATGTGGACAAGACATTGGTGGCCATCGCGGTTGCGTGCAGCAACATTCCGCTCACGTATGTGCAGACGCACACGCCCTTGGTGCGAGTGTACATGTGGCTCTTTGCATGTTTGCCGTCAGCCGACCCGTACCACCAAGTCGACGTTGCGATTGGTTGCATCCTGCTATCCCTCATCATAGCCAGCGTGCCGGTGAGCTATGGCTTTGGGTACCGCGCCTACCGAGGTAGGTCGATCGTGTAGCGACGGTTGAGGCCTCAAGCATGGGATAGCGCAACGAAAACGACAAACGCCCAACGCAAGGTACACGAGCCAAGCGTTCAATGGTCTCAAAACACGTTCTGTCTTGTGTCTCGTGCGCGCCTGTGGGCGGCGGTACCCGAAAAGCATGCTCGAGTCGGGCGGCTCCGTGTACGCGGCAATCGAAGCTGACCCACGCTACGCCCAGCACCCGACGCTGAGCCTCCGCAGCGTCGACTGCTACCTCGTCTGCAAGAAGCGACGCGTACCAAAGCAGATGATGCGACTCAGCCTCGCGTGGAGCTTGGATCGCAACCTCAGCGATCCCGCAATGGCCATCCTCGACGACGAGACAATCGCCGGCCGGACCATCTTTGATCGACTCGAAACGACGCCCCATCTCGGCACACTTCGGTCGACCTTCAAGCTACAGCTCGGTGTCGCCAAGAGCGTGTGGCTGGCGTAAGCAAATGAAACAGAATACGAGGGAGCTCCCTTTTCTGTATGTGCATACACGGACGACAATAGCATTCTTATATGGCATGCGAGCTCCATGCAGCGCCTTTCGAGGCTCCAGTACCGCACCCAATAAATGTTTTAAAACAGAGTTAGAAAGGGAGCCCGTCAACAAAGTACGAACCCCAATCGACACGAGATATTTCAGGCTCGCACAGACGATATGAGCCAGCGCTGACCTCTACTATAGAACCTTTCGGCGCCACTTGTACGATGGCAAGTTTCAAAGTATCAAGGAATTATGTCTTTACTACGGCACTGGCGTCGGGAGCGGGCGAGACGCGACACCGGCAAGGACGTTGGCGAGACCGCGGTCGCACATGGCGTGGCGCGTCCGCAGCGTCGCCGACGCAATGTGTGGCACAACAATGCAGTTGGGCAAGTGGAAGAGCTACCGCAAGTCAGCTTATCATCATCCATCATACTAGTACACAACGGGAAACGTACGGGGTGCGCGGGCGGAAGGGGCTCGGGCGACGTGACGTCGAGCGCTGCAGCTATCGGCTTGGACTGCAGCGCGGCCACGAGCGCGTCTTGGTCGACCACGTCCCGCGTGCCGTGTTGATGAGAACGGCGCCGGGCTTCATGAGGCCCAGCGCCCGAGCATCAATGAGGTGACGCGTCGCTGGTGTCAGCGGGCAGTGCAAGCTCACAACGTCGCTTTCTGAGAGAAGCGTGGGGAGGTCCACGAATGTGGCGCGAAGATCACCCAAGTCGGCCGCTGTCTTCTCTCTTGGCCCGCTGTAGAGGATCCGACACCCAAAGCCATTTTGGAGCATGCGAGCGTACGCAATGCCGATTTCGCCAAGGCCCACGACGCCTACAGTGCAGCCCGAGACGTCCGAGCCGCAGAATCTACTCCCATGTAGGATTAGCGACACAGAAAACGCTGCATATCGCACTGGTAGACTTGAATGACACCCCACTCGCCAGCAATCGCACTCTTGTGGCTCTCGAGAAGCCGGCGCTTGATGGCAAAGGTCAAGCTCACGGCCAGTTCGGCCGTTGACACGTGCAAGCAGCCTAGCTCATGCGTCATGCAGCGGATCCGAAGGACAAGAGGGTAGTTAGTACCTGGTGTATGGCCAACAGCGACACCTCGTGCCCGACAGGCCGCGACGTCGATGTGGTCGAATCCCGCCGAGATCGTCGACACGACCTTGAGCGAGGGCCCTGCGCTGTCAAGCACTTGCGGCGTGATCTTGTCCGTGATCATGCAAAGGATGCCCGTGCAGCCAGCCGCGCGGGCAACAAGCTCTGCCGGCGGAATGGCCACGTCGGCATGCTCGTAGCAGTCCACGACGAGGCTCGGGTTCTTGGCCAGTTGCTCTACGACAGGCGGTGCATGAAGAGGTCTTCCTTCGCATCGCGGTCGTGTACCCATCGCGGTCGTGTACCGAGGACGTAGGGAATGTGGCGCGTCACGAGCACTTTGCACTTGACGTCCATTTTGCACTTGGCAAGATCCGCCGATCGCGTGCAGATGGTCAATAAATAGCTAATTTTAAAGCAGGTAGTTTTACATACTACATGTTGTATGCAATGCTCCAAACAATAAAATTGCAGCAATTATTTGACCTTTGCCACCTGAGCCAATCACAGCTCGGCAAATGTAGAATGACCCGTGATTGGTCCATTGTTGAGAGATCCCGGGATGGCGCTGGTTCGAGCCCTGTCGACGGCCGCGCTGCGGTCGATCCACCCAACGGCCGAGGTCCACGCCACCGCCGTGCTGGCGCCGTTCACGGTCGTCGGAGCGCACGCAGTGGTCCGCAGCTTCATACCGGTTGGTGACTCGACTCTTATGGCCGGTTAGATTGCGGCCAACTGCAACATTGGGCCTGGCACGATCGTCGGTGACAACGTCGTTGTCGAGAGCGACACGACCATCGGTGCGCCAGATCACATGGAACCATCATGCCTCAAGGCTGCTAGGAGCCAATGCAACGCTGCTCAATTGCAACATTGGCAAGCGCAACGTCATCCACGCTGGCGTGCGCATTGGGCAGGTTCGCACCGCTACCTCGATGGACGAGGCTAAGATCTATGGTTCAGGACGGCTTTGGCTTTGAGCTCGATGCGACGGGCGCCGGCCACCACTTGAAGAAGCCGCAAGAACTCCGTGTCGAGATCCACGACGATGTCGAAATCGGGTACAACCGTTCGCTGACCTCGCGACGACGATGCATGCATTACAATTCCGTTAGGGCCAACTGCACCATCGACCGCGGAAGCTGGCGCAACACCGTCATCGGGCGCGGCTGCAAACTCGACAACCTGGTAGACCAGGCTGGATCTAGGATGCAAGGAACGATGGCCGGTAGATCCAAATCGCCCACAACGTGCAGATTGGGCCGGGCAGCGTCTTTGCGGCGCAAGTGGGCATTGCGGGCAGCACGACGATTGGCAAGAACGTCGTCGCCGGCGGCCAAGTCGGGATTGCCCAGCACCTCACGATTGGCGACAACGTCCGCATCGCTGGCAAGAGCGGTGTCATGCACAACCTCTCGGGCAACGCCGCCTACGGTAGACAACCTCTGTCGTACCTAAAGCTGCCATCATCGCCTCGTCGTCTAGGTGGCGTGCCCGCCGTGCCCATCATGGAGTTTCGCCGCCAAATGAGCCACATCCGCGACATGGGCCGCAAGCCGACCGCGCCGTAGTCATCGCACATAGATGCGGCCGCTACCACCCGTTGCCAACACGACGTGTTTCGCTTCTTCTTGGCAGTTGCCTTGCACGTATCTCTATGGCCATCGCCCACGGCGCAGAGACGCGTCGTCTTGATGGAGACGGCGCTGGCCTTAGAGAGGTAGCTAGGATGGGCAGCATGGCTTCCTCGTCCTTCGGTCCATGCAGCAGGTCCATGGCCGTGGCCGGTCGTCACCACGGAGAGCGCGGACCAAGCGATTCCGGAACATTAGCTCGAACCTGCGAGAACGTATGGGATCTAATAAAGTGTGGGAGGTTTCACTGACTTTCTTTTTCGGGGTTTGTGGTCCCCTGGTGACAGGAGGAATACGAAAAAAGCAGCCTAGATGGCGGAGAACGAGCAGCACAGCGCGATGCTCATGGCGCAGGGCGCGATGGACCTCAACCCCGTGCCATGGACCGAGCACACGGCGCCGGACGGACGCAAGTACTACTACAACGCGTCCACGGGCGAGTCGACGTGGGAGCGCCCGGCCGAGCTCAGCGCGCCGCAGCAGGCCGCGCCGGCCCAGCAAGTCCGCCCGCAGCAGCAGCAGCAGCAAGTGGCGCCTGCCCAGGTCGCCAACCCGCAGCTCCAGCAAGGCGCGATCAACCCGGCCGCTGCTGCCGGCCCTGTCGCTGGCCAGCAGGCGTTCCAGGGCCAGCCCGGGCAGATGCCGCAGTACGTGCAGGGCGGCTACGGCGCCGCCGGCTACCCGCAGCCGTACGGCCAGCCGATGGGCTACGCGCCGTACGCCCAGGGTGGCTACATGTACCCGTACGCCCAACCGTATGGTATGTTGGACAACACTGTCGACGAGTTGAAGTGCTCATGCTGCTATAGGCTACGCTCCCCAGGTGGCGGGTCCCGGTCCTCCGATCCAGACGACCGAAAGTGGGCAAGGTATGCAACCCTCTTCATGCTTGCATACTTCGGACCGCGGGCGAAGGCCGCCCGTTCTTCGTTCGCGGTCGTTGCATGCTTGCCTATTGTGTATCTGTATTTACGTGTGTTCATGTCCAGGACCCCCTGGTTGCAATTTATTCGTGTTTCATATTCCAAATGATATGACCAACCAGGACCTCTTCAACTACTTTGCGACGTTCGGTAACGTCATCTCGGCGCGCATCATGGTCGAGAAGGAGACGGGCCGCAGCCGTGGCTTTGGTACGACCTCGAGACGACGCAATCCGGGAGGCTCATGGCGACGACAACGTAGGCTTTGTGAGCTACGACAATGCGCCGTCCGCCGACGCCGCTATCAAGGGCATGAACGGCTTCCAGGTCGGCCGCAAGCGGTTGAAGGTCCAGCACAAGAAGGAGAAGGGTGGCATGTACGAGGACGACATGGACCAAGGCGCGGTGGCGGGCCAGTAAGCCGACAAAAGCAGCTCAATTATACCGTGCGATCCACGCCAGGACGACGACCGACGCCGACGCCGCTGCATCTTGCGTGTTCCTTCTCTATTTGCATGAACAGCCGACGCGGCGATCTTCGCCCTGAATGAATCCACACCCTTTTATATGGCGTTTACGAGCATCCAGTACCATGGAGGTGCAGGGATGGAAGAAGAAGTGCCGGTAGACAGAAGCAGCTGATGCAGTAGCTAATCAGTTGACATTTACGAAATGGCATGGGTGCCACTCATTCCAGTCGAGGTCCAGATCGCACAGCCCATCACACCAGGACCTTGGACTCAACGCTTGCGGCCAAGGCCCCAGAGGAGGAGGAAGAGGCTGCATGCACACCAACGATCAAGGTAGTTGATCCAATTGCAACGACGCCGTCGCCACGACGCAGACCGTGCGACGATAATGCGCTACCGATCGACATCAACACTGCGTCCGGCGCCGACCTGCGGCGCGTGCCGGGCGTCGGCCTCGTGCTCAGCGAGCGCATCATTGCCCATCGCCCGTACCGCTCGATTGACGCGCTCGTGTACGTGCCAGGGATCGGTGTTCGCTCGTTCGCCAAGATGCGCCCATGGCTCGCGCCGCTCCAGCCCCATGTCGCTCCCGCCATGTTGTGCGAGCGTGTGCCTGCGTCTCGACAATTGCACTTTCCAAAGGGCGCGCCAACGTACGCGATAGCGAGCTGGAACCTCTGCAACCTCTCCAAGAAGCGCCCGACCGACTCGCTGCGTCTGATCGCCGAGATCTTTGCGCCCTTTGATCTCGTGGCGCTTCAGGTAGCAATAAGATCTGAGAGTACACACAAATATGTCACCTTGCTGCAGGAAGTGCGCGATACGCTCGTGCTCAAGAAGCTGCGCGCGCTGCTGCGGGGTTGGGACTACGTGGTCTCGGGCCGCGTCGGCGGTGCTGCCCGTGGCGAGTACTTTGCCTTCTTCTACCGAAAAGCCAAGTGGCATCGCCCGACGGTGCAGCACTTGCCCGAGGCCCACGACGGCCTTGACGCGTTGCATCGCCGCCCGTTTGTCGTGCAGGCCCATTCCGTGTGCAGCCGCCTGGCCATGACACTGGTCAATGTCCACATCGTCTTTGGTCGCGAGGCCGGACGCCGCAAGCGCGAAGTCGACGGCCTCGTAGCACTCACGGCCGCGCTTCATGGCCACGTGGTGTTGCTCGGCGACTTCAACTTGCCGCCGTTCGACCTCGGCCTCTCGACGGCGCGCTGGCTGCCACTGATCAACGCGCCGCTGACGACCACGATCGGAAACAACCTGTACGACAACATTTGGGTGCGCGGCACCGAGGACATGATCTTTGGCGACTTTGCTTTTTGCGCGGGCGTGGATCGCGTGGACCAGCGGTACTTTCCAGCGACCAAGCAGCGCGCGAAAGAGGCTCGACTGCAGTGCTGCAGCGTCCTCTCCGACCACTGCCCCGTGTACATGGCGCTCTACGCGCCTTGCGAGTTGCTTGGCACTGAGATATCACAGGATCACACTGTAGTATGACGACTATAATGTTGGAAACGTTCATTTGACGGCCCGTTCAGTATCGCTGGGACGCTGGAAAGGAGACGGGTGTGAGTGTGAGAAGGGCGCCCGTCGGACAGCGGCCAACACTGTTTCTTGGTTTGTGGCACCGATCGCGCTGTCACAAGGCAGAAGACATGACCGCACACCAACATTGCCAGCTCATCCAGAGCTTTCTTGGGTACCCCGCTTGCCGGGAATTGAACCGCCGTTGGCTCAACAGGTTGGTGTGATATGATGTGTTCGCCTTCAGCCATTATTGTAGGGCGATCCATCGAGAGCTTTCTGTAGACTTGGCACTTGCGAGCTCGTCGTTTGGGATTTCGCTCGGCGGGCACACCAAATAATCAACTTTGTTGGTGCGTGGATGGTCGCACTTGCGAGCACAGCGATTGCATCGGGCTATCCCCGTTGACACACACCGCAAAAATCCAGCTGCGTGCACTGCCACCGCGCGCGCATTGTGTTTCAAAACCCGACGAAATGTCACGCGTCGCAGGCCTTTTTCTCGTCCAAGATGCAATTGGCGTTGGTGCCAGGAAGCTTGATACCGTAGGTTGGAGAGTCTCGCTGCGTCGCTCGTTCAACAGTACGCGTACGGCCACACAAGACGATGTGAGCGACGCTCTTATTTGGGTGTTTGTGACAAAGTCCGCCTCAGACATCGTCCCGAGCAGACCACGGTGGGCGGCTACCCGTACAGGTATACTATTTCATTGCTTTCTTTCACTACGTCCCGAACATACCACGGTTATGCATCACTGAATCCACCAGTGGTATTAAACAGCTCGTGTACTGACCGACGTGTCGTCGCTTCCTTGAGCACTTGCTTGCGTTTGCTGCTCTGCGCTGGCGAGTGCCAGTGAGATGCCCATGATACGACATGTATCTTGGACCTGCGACCGCCAATGACGTACGCTTGGCAGAGACAACGAGCGTTTGACCATCTGCAGTGTTGAACCCCGAGCATGTGTAATGAAGGGCTATCAGCGAAGCACACCTGGATCATTAGCTATTACCAGTACGTACGTTACCTGCATTATGAACACAATGGACGAGCACAGTTGGTGAGCAACGAGGTGCTCGCAACGCAAGAATCCAATGCCAGTGTGGCACTGGCTTGTGTACAGTAACATGCCTGCGTCTGTATCGCCAAGGTGTTCTCATCGCGCTCTCTATCAGACGAGGTGTAATGATTCGGCCAAGGCCAGAACAAGGTCGCGCGTTGGCGTCTTGCAGTCGCGCCACAGGAGCTTGTCGACCTGCTTCGATTTTGCGGCAGCGGTGATTGGCGCTTCGAAAAACACTGCATCTCGATTGGACAACGAGGTGGCAACGATCGGCCGCCCAGAGAAGTGAGCGCCAGAGTTGCAGTACCCTGCCAGATGGCATCCGTTGAAAGGAATCGACACGCTGGTGCCATTGTTCAATTCGCCACCGGCCCCGGTACCCGATGAAGCTCTACCTCCCGCTGGCCGTCGTCGCGGCGGTCGCGGTCGCCCAAGACTTCGACGCGCAGGCCGAGGCCATCGTCGCCAAGATGGTACTCACTCATCCCTTCTCCTTCTTCTTGACGGGATACGAACTCACGCTGCCATTCTAGACGCCGGCGCAGTGGATCGGCCAAATGGCCCAAGCCAACATCGGCGTCATTCTCGGCTCGGACGGCCAGCTCAGCGTGAACGCCGTCACGCAGTGTGCCAAGGCTGGCGTCGGCTCGTTCCTCAACGGTGCCATGCCGGCGGCCAAGTGGCGTGCCATGATCACGCAGATCCAGTCCATTTATAAGGCCAACAACGCGCCGCCCGCGCTCTACGGTCTCGACAGCGTCCACGGTGCCAACTACGTCAACGACGCCATTTTGTCGCCGCAGCAGATCAACAAGGGCGCGACGTTCAACGCCAAGATCGTCCAAGACTCTGCGTTCGTCACGGCGCGCGACACGTCGGCGGGCGGCGTCAACTGGGTCTTTGCTCCGGGTCTCGACGTCACCAACCACAAACGCTGGTCGCGCGTCTACGAAACGTACGGCGAAGACCCGTACTTGGCGTCCGAGCTCGGTGTCGCGGCCGTCAACGGCATCCAGTCCGTGCCGGGCGTGGCCGCCGCCGTCAAGCACTTTATCGGATACGGCGCCACGTCGACGGGCGACGACCGCGCACCGGCCTACTTGGACGACTACCAAGTGCTCAACTACCACGCGCCGCCCTTCATTGCCGCGATCCAGAACGCCAACGCGCTCTCGGTCATGGCGAGCTACGTCTCGGTCAATGGCGTGCCGATGGTTGCCAACAGCCGCTTGACCAACGATCTGCTTCGAAGCGACATCGGCTTCAAGGGACTGCTGCTCACCGACTGGGAAGACATTTACAACCTCAACTACGTCCACAAGCTCGTCACCAACAACCAAGACGCGGTCGCCATGTCCATGTCCAAGTCGTCCGTGGACATGAGCATGATCCCGAACGACCTGAGCTTCATCGGGCATGCGCAAAACCTGCTCAACGCCGGCACGATTGCGGCGTCGCGGTATCGCGCGTCGGCCAAGCGCATCATCAAGTACGTCGTGTCTCACATTGCACATGTATCAACCGTTTCGATAGGATGAAGCTCCAGCTCGGCTTGTTTGAGACGCCCGTGCCTGGCGCCAACAATGTCAACCTTGTGGGTAGCAACGCGGACCGCCAAGCGTCGCTCGAACTCGCGCGTGAGTCGATCGTGCTCCTCAAAAAACAAGGACAAGGTATTGCCGGTGCGGAGCAACCCGAACCTCTTTGTCACTGGCCCGGCCTACGACAACATTGGCTACCTCTGCGGCGGCTGGACGTGGGAGTGGCAGGGCGTCTCGGGCAACGCCAAGTTCCCCGGCAGCCAAAGCGTACTCGCGGCGTTTCAGAGCCTCGTCGCAGACAAGGGCGGCAAGGTCACATCGCTTCAGGTGCGTTTGCATCCACCGCAGTGCCTCTTCTAAACAAGAAATCTCTATTGTACTAGGGCGTCGACATCAACGGCGGGACGACCGATTCGCTGGCCGACGCCAAGGCCAAGGCCGCCGCCGCCGAGTACACGGTCATCGTCGTCGGCGAGGCGCCGTACGCTGAGATGGTCGGTAACATTCCCGATGCGGCACTGCCGGCTGGTCAGCTCCAGTATATTCGGGACATTGCCTCGACCGGCACCAAGGTCATTCTCGTCCTCGTCGAAGGGCGCCCGCGCCTCCTCAACGGCGTCGCCGACGTCGTCCACGCGGTCATTGACGCGATGCTGCCGTGCCACATGGGCGGCCAGGCCATTGCCGAGATCATCCTCGGCGTCACCAACCCGAGCGGCCGCCTCCCGCTCACGTACCCCAAGGACGCGACCAAGGACAACATGGTGACGCCGTACTTCCACCGCAAGAACGGCGTGTGTGTGCTCACGGGCGCGGCGTGTCCGGCCGAGTGGGAGTTTGGCGCGGGCTTGAGCTACACGACGTTTGAGTACTCCAACTTTGCGCTCAGCGCCAACCAGCTCAACACGTCGTCCGAGTCGCTGACGGCGAGCGTCGTCGTGACCAACACGGGCGCGGTGGCCGGGAAGGAGGCGGTCTTGGTCTTTCTGAGCCAAGGCGCGCGTGCGTCCGGGACGCCCGAGACCAAGATGCTCAAGAAGTTTACAAAAGTGTCCTTGGCGCCCGGGCAGTCGACCACGGTGACGTTTCCGATTGGCTTCAACGACTTTGCGATCTACAACGGCGGCATTGGGTCGGGTCTCCTCAAGTCGGCCGAAGCCGGCGCGTACTACGTTGGCGTCAAGCCCGAGACGGTCTGCGACGCCAACACGATCGGACCCCTCTGCAAGTCGTTCAAGTACGGTGCTGTCGCGGCCACGGTCCCTCTGTCGCTGTACGCCAAGACTACCGGCAAGATCGTCGGCACGACGGACTGGGACACGTTCATGTACTCCCCACCGACGGGTGCGACGCCGGCCAACCAGCAGCTCGAGTACCTGCCCGACACGCGCCAGCTCCGTGTGAAGAGCAACGGCAAGTGCCTCGACGTCTATCCCAACAGCGCCGTGGCTGCCGGGTACACGTTGCATCTCTGGACGTGCGATGCGGCCAACGGCAACCAGCGCTGGCGCATCAACGCCGCGGGCCACCAGATTGCGCACGCCACGCACAACAACGTGTGTCTGGACGCAGACCCGACCGATGGCCAGTCGCGACTTCAAGTCTGGAGCTGCGCGCCTGTGGGCACCAACCCCAACCAGTTTTTCGGTCTCACGAGCGTCACCGCCGAGCCCGCGACGCTCACGTCGCTCAGTGGGCTTCGCTTTGGCGCCAACGTGGGCAGCGGAAGCGTCGGCTTTGGATCTGGTGCGAGCGTCTGGAGCTTCAACTTTATGACGGGGCAGATTGTGGCGCAAGGCTCTAACCAATGCTTGGACGCGTACCAAGCGCAGAACGGCGGGGCGGTGCACCTCTGGACATGCGACGCCAGTAACGGCAACCAGAAGTGGATCTACGAGCCGACGACGGGCCAGCTGCGCCACGGGACGTTCAAGAGCTTCTGCCTCGACATGCAGAGCGACGCGGGCGCGACGCCGTACGTCTGGACGTGCCACGACCCGAACAACTACTGGTTCAAGTTCCAGACCTTCAAGTACCAAAATACCGCCGTGGCGCTGCCGTAGAGGCAGTGCATCGTGGCGTCTCCGTATGAAAGAATCCATATCTTGTGTGTGAAATTGTCATTGTCTTGTCGTTGGAGACATCACCTTTTGCAATGTCATCATATCCATTTCGGTTACATTCTTTGTCGTCTACAAGGGTTCATACTTGAAGGTCTGGAACTTGAACCAGTAGTTGTTCGGGTTGTGGCACGTCCAGAGGTACGGTGTCGCGCCCACGTCGCTCTGCATGTCGAGGCAGAAGCTCTGGAACGTCCCGTGGCGCAGCTGGCCCGTCGTCGGCTCGTAGATCCACTTCTGGTTGCCGTTACTGGCGTCGCACGTCCAGAGGTGCACCGCCCCGCCGTTCTGCGCTTGGTACGCGTCCAAGCACTGGGTCGAGCCATCGACGCGCACCAAGCCCGAGGCAAAATCAAAGCTCCAGTTGGGCAAGCTCGTCGGTGGCGCCGAAAACGTCACGGCGGCGCGAGCGGCCGTGGACGCAACCGTGAAGACGCGGTTGTTGAGCACGGACGAGAGGCGCACGCGCTCCGGAATCCCGCGGCTGAAGAACTGGTTCGGGTTGCCCGAGACGCAGGTCCAGACTTGAACAGCCCCCGTCGTGTCACTCGGGTCGACGTCGAGGCAGATGTTGGGGTGCGTCGCGTGAATGACCTGGTGCGTCGCCGCGTTAAGCGTCCACTTTTGGTTGCCGTTGGACGCATCGCACGCGTACATGTGAAGACGGTACTTGATTGGTGCTGACGCGTCCGGGTACACGTCAAAGCACCTGCCGAGGCTCTTGTCGCGGAGCTGCTTGGTCACGCTGTCGTAGACAAGCTGTTGGCTCCGACTCGGCGACGCGCCAGGCGTCTGAACCCAGACGTTCCACTGATCGGTGCCGATAATCTTGCCGGTCTTGGTGTAGAGCGACAAAACCGTGTCCGCCGAGGGCTTCGGTGTCGGCGTCGACAGAGTGTCGTAGGTGAACGCTTGGCAGAGCGAACCGACGTTCGCCGCATTGCAGACCGTCTCGGGCTTGAACGCGACGAAGTACGTACCCGCCTCGGCCGTCTTGGTCAATCCGGACCCGATCGGCCCGGCATAGATGCCCCAATCGGCGACGCTGAGCGAAAACGTCACTTGCGTCGACTGGCCCGGCGCGAGGTCGACCTTGGTAAACTTCTTGAGCATCTTGATTTCCGGTGTGCCGCTCGCGCGCGTCTGCTGGGAGACGAAGAGGAGGACCGCTTCCTTGCCCTGCACCGCGCCCGTGTTGGTCACCGTGACCGAGGCCGTGATGGCGCCGCTGATGCTGACCTGGTTGCTGCTGAGCGCAAAGTTGGTGTAGCTGAACGTCGTGTAGCTCAGACCCGCACCAAAGTCCCACTCGGCGACGCACGAGTCGGCGACGCACACGCCGTTCTTGCGGTTGAAATACGGCGTGACCATGTTGGCGTACGTCGTGTCCTTGGGGTACGTCATGCTGAGGCGGCCGCTGGGGTTGGTGAAGCCAAGGACGATCTCGGCGATGGCCTGGCCACCAGCCTCACACGGCAACATGGCGTCAATGACGGCGTGGACGACGTCGGCGACGCCCTTTAGGATGCGCGGACGCGCCTCGACAAGCACGAGGATGACTTTCGTGCCGGTGGAGGCAATCTCGCGAATGTATTGGAGCTGGCCGGCCGGCAGCGCCGCATCGGCAATGTTGCCGCTCATTTCTGTCGACGGCGCCTCGCCGACCGCGATGATGGTGTACTCTGCATTCTTGGCCTTGGCCTTGGCCTCGGCAAGCGAGTCGGTGGCAGCGCCAGTGATGTCGACGCCCTACATGTCCATTAGCATGCGACAGACACTAACGTCGCTGAATAGTACCTGGAGCATTTGAATCTTGTTTGCGTCGGCGCCATAGAGGTCCTGGAAACCCTTGAGGATCGACTTGCCCTTCGGAAAGCGGTCGTTGCCGGAGACGCCTTGCCACGCCCACGTCCAAGCGCCACAGAGGTAGCCAATGTTGTCGATGGACGGACCCGTCAAGAAGAGACGCGGGCGCCCCGACAGTGGCAGCACGCTGTCCTTGTTCTTGAGAAGCACAATCGACTCGCGTGCCAGCTCAAGCGCCTCGGCGCGGTCGGCGTCGCTACCGACTTGCGAGACAAGGTCGGCACCCGGGAGCGGCGTCTTGAACATGTCGAGCTGCAGCTTCATCTTGATGACACGCTTGGCTCCGGCACGGTAGCGCGATGCAGGCACCTTGCCCGCTGCAACGAGGTTCTTGGAGAGGTAAATAAAGTCCGGATCGTCCGGCACCATGCTCATGTCAATCGAGGCCTGGTTGAGACTCATGGCGATGGCATCTTGGCGGGTCGAGACACCGACGTTGTGGTGCAGCAAGTTGTAAATGTCTTGCCAATCGGTGACGAGGAGTCCGTCAAACTTCATGTCACTCCGGAGCAGGTCCACCGTGAGCTTTTGGTTGCTCACCATCGGCACGTTATTGACGACGACGTAGCTCGACATGCCGCTGAGCGCGCCGGCGTTGACAGCTGAAATGAACGGCGGTGAGTAGTAGTTGAGCAGCTCGTACTCAGTCGGGAAGGCGCCACCGCGATCGTCGCCCGTCGACGTAGCGCCGTAGGCGGTGAAGTGCTTAAAGTTGGCCGCGACACCGGGCACCGACTGGATACCCGTGACGGCCTCGGCAATCATCTCCGAGACCAAGTACGGGTCCTCGCCGTAGCTCTCAAAGATGCGCGACCAGCGCTTGTGGACGACAACGTCGCCGTTGGGCGCGAAGATCCAGTTGACGCCGCTCGCCGCCGAGTCGCGCGCGGTGACATAGGCTGACTTGCGCACGAGGTCGCGGTTGAACGACGAGCCTTTGTTGGTTTGCTGCGGCGAGAGCGCAGCGCCAAAGGTGTAGCTCGCGCCGTGGATCGAGTCGAGGCCAAAGAGCATCGGCGGCGCGCCTTCTTCCTTGTAGATGTCTTGGATGCGGCCAAGCAAGCTGCGCCACGCCGTGACGTTCATTTGGCCGTTAAGAAAGGACCCGACGCGGAGCTTGGCGCATTCGCGCACCTTGGACTCGATGAGCTGGCCGTTGACATCCACAATGTACGAGAGGTCGAGCTGCGTCATTTGACCGATCCACTCGTCTGTCGTCATCTTGGCCACGATGGCTTCGGCCTGCGCATCATAGTCGACGGCAGCAGCAAGCGTCGATAGTAGCGACAGAAGATGCAGCACCTTCATACTAATGATCTGGCAAACTGCAAAGTGAGCGACGAGGGCAAGTCGGCTGTCAGTTGTAGTACGACGTGAAAAGCAACACCCAAAACGACGCCATCCAGCGGACCATCTGTTGGCGGTCAAGAACGACGACGGGGCGACACGAGCTGATTCGCAGCGCACACGACGACAGATCCTGAAGCATTCCTAAGGCGTTGGGATCATGGTCGATGGACGCACTTGGACCCAGCGTCCTAGGTGACACTGCCGAAGTCAGAATCATTTTCTACATTGGCGCCAACTTGGAGCGTTCGCTAGCCCAACAAATCATCGGTGGCTAATGACCGCACACTCAGCATATAATTAGGATAGTGTACACTGTCGCAGCTTGATGGTATGCTCGGTCGAACGAGAGCTGTCGGAGCGCTTCCATCGGATACCCCACGTGGCCGTTTTAATGCCGCTCGATGCGATGGCATTGTACTACAATTGGCAACAAGTGGCCTCAAAAGAATGGCGAACAAGTATGCACCGGGTCACCTTACTGGATGGATATATACTGTAATTACAGCGAACATGGGTCCTGACCAGATCGATTGGTCGCGTCCGTCGCACAAGACAGCCCGATCGTGGACAGGACACAGGGCGCGGACGATACCTATCTACGTTCAGGTAGCAATGATGAGCTGCAGCTATAGACAGAGTGACTCTAGCTAGTACCAACTAAATAGTCCTTTTCAGTAGTCAACACGGCAGCCACACACGTGAACGTATGCGCAACGGTCGCGGCTCGTGACATCCATGGGGATCCCGAGATGGACAGCCATGTTGAAGTTGCACGTGGCGCATCGACAGGCCACTTCAACCATCCAGTCGCGAGCGCTTCGTCGTCACCAAGTGTCAATGCTAGGATACTACACTTTGCTCAACCGTCCGGGAAGCCTTCTCGCATTTTCTCCCGAGTGCCGGTGCGAGATTCTGTAGATCGTGCTATGCGATAGTACCTGCACAAACAACAACCCACTTGTCTATAGTCGTTTTCGTATCTTCAAAATCAAATGTCGTCGTTTGAGCGCCACTTAAGTCGTGACGTGGCAGGCGGCGAGGACAAGGTCGTTGTCGGTGACATGAAGGCATTGATCGACTCGTGCGAGGTGGCGGAGCTGACCGGTGGCGGCATCGTGGCGCCAGAGTTGGTGCTCTTCCGGCGTCGTGCAGTCGCCAAGCCCAAGGCCGTCGCCGACAAGACCCAAGCATAGCCCCGAGCCCACAATTGATAGCGTGTTGTGCACAGCGTCCAGTACCCAGTTGTTGACACTGGGCAAGTTGCCGAGAAGGCCCACGAGCCGCTTTGGCACGCTGAGGGCGTGGCCATGGCCTGCGACGACGGTCGCCGACACACTGGACCGGTCGTGCAAGTGAAACACCTGGGCCAGCACCGTCTTTGGCGCGTACGCAAATGCCTGACAGAGCGGTCCGATCGTGTTGGCGTCGCAGACCGTCTCGGGCTTGACGCCAACGTAGTACGCGCCGGCTTCGGCCGACTTGAGGAGACCCGACCCAATGCCGCCGTTGTAGATCGCAAAGTCGTTGAAGCCAATCGGAAACGTCACCGTGGTCGACTGCCCGGGCGCCAAGGACACTTTTGTAAACTTCTTGAGCATCTTGGTCTCGGGCGTCCCGGACGCACGCGCGCCTTGGCTCAGAAAGACCAAGACCGCCTCCTTCCCGGCCATCGCGCCCGTGTTGGTCACGACGACGCTCGCCGTCAGCGACTCGGACGACGTGTTGAGCTGGTTGGCGCTGAGCGCAAAGCTAGAGTACTCAAACGTCGTGTAGCTCAGGCCCGCGCCAAACTCCCACTCGGCCGGACACGCCGCGCCCGTGAGCACACACACGCCGTTCTTGCGGTGGAAGTACGGCGTCACCATGTTGTCCTTGGTCGCGTCCTTGGGGTACGTCATGCTGAGGCGGCCGCTGGGGTTGGTGACGCCGAGGATGATCTCGGCGATGGCCTGGCCGCCCATGTGGCATGGCAGCATCGCGTCGATGACCGCGTGGACGACGTCGGCGACGCCGTTGAGGAGGCGCGGGCGCCCTTCGACGAGGACGAGGATCACCTTGGTGCCGGTCGAGGCAATGTCGCGAATGTACTGCAGCTGCCCGGCCGGCAGCGCCGCGTCCTTGATGTTGCCAAAGCTTTCCGCGTACGGCGCCTCACCGACGACGATGACCGTGTACTCGGCTGCACGGGCTTTTTCTAACGCACTGCTATAGTTGCCAACATGGTTGCCTTGAATGTCAATGCCCTATGTTGATGTGAGACCGTCGCATCGCGGATCGTATCGATTGGATGACGTACCGGAAGAAACGAAAGGCGGGAAGCGTCTTTGTACATCGATGTAAATGCAGCACGGATCGACTGGCTACCCGGAAAGACGCTGTTGTCGCGGCGGCCTTGCCACTCCCACGTCCAGCCGCCGCAGAGGTAGCCAATGTTGTCGACCGACGGCCCCGTCAAGAAGAGACGCGGCTCGTTCCGCAGTGGTAGCACATCCTGTTTGTTCTGAAGGAGCACGATGGACTCGCGTGCGATATCGAGTGCGGCGTCACGGTCCGCGCCACTTCCGACGCGCGCCACGTCCTCGGCGCCGTGCATGGGCGCGTCAAAAAGCCCCAGCCGGAGCTTCAGTCTACACGCCCATGTGAGGGTAGGGTCCACAGAAAAGAGAGTGATGGTACTTGATGACGCGCTTGGCGGATGCGCGGAAGCGCTTTGCCGGCAGCTTCCCGGCCTTGAGCAGCGACTCGGCGTACCCGACAAAGCTCGCGTCGTACGGCACCATGCTCACGTCCACAGACGACTTGGTCATGGCGACGCGGACCGCCTCCATGTTGGAGTTGACCAAGTGATGCACAAAGTTGAGGTGGTAAATGTCTTCCCAGTCGGTGACGAGCACACCGTCAAAGCCCATGTCCTGTCGCAGCAGATCGATGGTCATCTTTTCGTTGACAACCATGGGCACGTCGTTGATGGACGCATACCCCGTCATGCCCGAGAGAACGCCGGCGCGGATCGCCGCCGTGAACGACGGCGTGTAGTAGTTGAGCAGCTCGTACTCGGACACGAAAGCCGTCCCGAGGTCGTCGCCCGTCGCCGACGCGCCGTAGGCACCAAAGTGCTTGAACGTCGCGGCCACGCTGCGCACCGACTGGATGCCGTTGACGGCCGCGACCCCGAGCTCGGACGTCAAGTACGGGTCCTCGCCAAATGTTTCGTACACGCGCGGCCAGCGCTTGTGCTGCGCGACGTCAAGTCCTGGCGCGAGCGCCCAGTTGACGCCGGCCGCCGCCAAGTCGCGGGCTGTGATGGCGCCAAAGCGAGAGACGAGCGCCGGGTTGAAGGTCGCGCCGTTGTTGATCTGCTGCGGGCCCATGACCGCGCCGTGCACGTAGTTGGCGCCGTGGAGACTGTCGAGGCCGTACAGTACGGGGGCAACGTGATGCTCGGCGTAAATGGCTTGGATGCGCGAGATCATCGAGCGCCATTGGTGGACGTCGAGGAACCCGTTGAGGAACGCGCCGACGCCGATGCGCGCGCACTGGGCGACCGCGGCCTCGTTCAGCGAGCCGTCCGGGTACGTGATGTACCCAATGTTGATCTGGGCCATTTGAGCGATCCACTGATGCGGCGTCTACGAGATTGCTGAGTTTGCATCCGGATGCAGGTGGCGACGTACCATGGCCGCAATGATGGCTTCGGCACGCGCGTCCAGATCGTCCGCCGTAGCGTTTTGCGCGGCTGCGAGCGCCGCGACTGACGCGAGAAGGGACCATGTTGAAATGAATGCCACAGAGAAAAGAAAGGCGTGTGGGATGAAAGATACTACTTGTGGCCATGTGTTGTGGCATCGCTTGACCAAGTTGATTCCTCGTGCGTCGTTGATACAACGAGTATGCACACCGTCCACCGACAACATAGAGAGCGCGGACGCTTCACGTCGTATTGGTACCCGCACAAGCTACGGCTCGGGCGCGTTAGCAGTGAAGCCCATCTGAAGCATAGAAGCACCACGACAACACCGTCAACGTTGCAGTTGAAGTTGGACGACGGCGCAGTTGCGACGCGAGAGTTACTGATTGGCCGCTCACCAGCAGCACTCTGGCACTCTGTCTGGTTGTACAATTATTATCATAGTTCTCGCGTCTATCTCGTAGGGCCGACTTGTGTTGCATTCCTTGGTCTCCAAGACAGAGCAGTCATTTTTCCGAGGGTTAGGTCGCCAGCACAAAAAGCCATTTCATTGGCCAAATAGCATGCATATTTCGACCAATCAAATACGATGCAAAACGAGCCATGGCGCCACCGGGCGCCTCCACGCGCCTCTGACGCGCGATTGGAAGTTTTTAAAGGGTCGGCCATACTTGGCACATGGATAGAGGACACTTTGGGGAGTACGAAACGCCGCGTGGGGCTGACGTTCGAGGCACAGAGCCCGAGAAATCGATCCCGAAAGATATCAGATGACAAGTTTTTGGCCGCCGATGGCTTTCCATTAGACCCGTTGTCAGGTCGCAGAACTCATCATTTTGTAGTATGTTGTCTATTCAATCGTACATCATGCAAGTGGGCAATCTCTTCGTCCACAGTCATTGCAATACACGAGCCATCGGCGGTCAAAACCTCATCATCTGATATCTTTCGGGATCGATTTCTCGGACTCTGTGCCTCGAACGTCAGCCCCACGCAGCGTTTCCTACTCCCCTAAGTGTCTTCTATCCGTGTGCCAAGTATGGCCGACCCTTTAAAAAACTTTCAATAGCGCGTCAGAGGCGCGTGGAGGCGAAAGGTGGCGCCATGGCTCGTTTTTCATCGCATTTGATTGATCGAAATACGCATGCTATTTGGCCAATGAAATGACATTAAAACACCCTCCAAGGATAGCGTCCGCCAGCTTCGTAACAGCAAGGCCGCGCAAATGCTCTTCTGGCTCAAGCAAACTAGCAAATTGCATATGGAACAAACTCGACATAGCAAAGGACAGGACCATCAAGGGACGTGTAATGACAACAATCCATCAAGCTATAGCACTGCCATCCATTACATTTGACCAGACGTCTGCATGCCCTCGATCGACTCACGATACGCCTCGTCTTGGAACCGGTTCGGCGACAGCGCATCGGCGTACGCTGCAAACGGCGGCGGCGTCGACGGGTTCTCAAACTGAACGTCGCCCATGACCGTCGCTGCCAAGAGCTCTCCGGCAGCTGCGCTTGACCTACCCGCGTGTTCGGATCACTTTGGCTTTTCAAAATTCAGTCGTACATGAGACCGACGCCCGTCATGGCGGCTTGGAAGTAGAGACCATCGACGCTCTGCGCAAAGCGACCAATGAGCGGCCGGTTGTCGGGTGCCTTGCAATAGTAGCCGCCGTCCACCTACCTCTCATCAACTAGGATCGATTCGATGCCGTCGGTACCTGCATGGACGCGAGGACGTGGGGGTCGCGCAAATACGAGGTCATTTGAGGAAAGAGCGGCGTGAGGCCCCGTACGCAAATTTCGCCGTACCTATCCACAAACAGTATCAATGTGTCAACTCATAAAACACCATGAAAGGCACCGCGGATCCAAGATGGTCTGGATCGGAAACACGGGGTCCACAAGCGCCGTGTCGTAGGTCCAGACCGCGAGCGCCTTGCCGTCGCCATACGGCCGCACGTGGACGCCTAGAAGAGTCATGGTCGTTTTGTCAAGAAGGCAGAAACGACCTGCGGGGAAGTTGGCGTGCGCCAGAGGATCGCCATCGCGTCGTTCGTCCGGCGCAAACTACAACGATCTCGCGCCCATGCGAATCGCTGCAAGCAAATGTACCTGTAGCCGCCCAATCGGGTCCATGTCGAAGGTCAGCGGTGCCGTCGAGGCCATGATGTGCTTGGGGTCGTCAAAGATAACGCGGGCATGGAGCTCGTGTTGGATCGGGAGCGGTTCGCCGAGCAGATCCTTCTTCGCCAGCAGCTGCAGCGTATCCTGCAACATCGGTCCAGGCGCGAGGACGAGCTTGGGGGTTGCCACAAAGTGCTTGTCGCCGTTGTGCATGACCACAGTGATGCCCGAAATGCGCCCGCCAGTCGCGTGGATGTCGACCATCTTGCCGCGAACGACCTCGGCGTGCGGGCAGTACTCGGTGGCCTTTGTCAGTTGGTAGTTGCCCTACGCACGACCGACGTTCAACGCAATCTGCAACTGGATATGCGGTACCATCTTGAAGGGATTGAGCGAGCCCGCGCGACGGACGTGGAGCGCTCCGATGGCCCCTGACGCAGCGAGCGAAGGAAAAGCCGATGCGACAGCGTCAGCACCAAGTATAAAGTCGCAGCCGTCGGCGCGGTCGATGGCGGCCGTCGACGGATTGTATGCATCGAGGGACCCGTGGTGCACGCGGAGGGCGCCGCCGCCAAGGGCTTCATGGCGCAGCGCTTGGTCGCGGAAGACAGAAACTTGATGCTCGCTCCGCGTCACAAAGAGATATCCGTTGCGATTGAGATCAATCTCGTCCGCGTAGTCGTCCATGAGGTCGATCGAGCGCGACACGAGGCGCATCATGGCCTCTTCGCCGGCGTTGGGCCACCAGTTGCGGTACTGGAACGACCCGCGGGCGCTCGTAAGCGTCATGGGCGACATGGCGTCGAGCAGCATCGGCTTGAAGGACGACGGTGCGCCACGCTGAGCCGTGTTGCGGTTGCGCTTGGCTAAGCCGTAAAAGGCCGAGCAGCCCGCGACACCGGCGCCGACGACGACAACGTCGGCCGACTTGGCCACCTTCCGCAGCATATCCAATATGACCTGCCAGACTCAGGTTGCACTTTCCAGTCGAAATTAAATCTAGCCAATCAGCGTGAACCAAAAGATCGCACTCGTGGCAGCACGGCAGCGGTGGTCAGTGTCCTCGCTTAACACGCAAGCAGCGGCCACAACTGCATCGCCAAGTGCAGAAGTGGTTATACCGATGCGTGTGCAGCAGCGCGTTATCTCTCCGAGGGGGTGGTCTAGCCCATAGCTCACCTGATGTGTGGATAGATTGGCACACGACTTGGCCCCAGAGCGCTAGCATGAGGACATCGTCGAATGAGGTATGCAGCTATCGAAGTGAGTGGTACGCGTGGTGAAGAGTGTGCAGAGATAGGTGACTTCCACCGTACTCACACGAGTTTAAACGGCGAATCCGAACCAGAGAACTGAGCAATTTAAGCCGAGGACGATCCCGGCCACTTGTCGTTGGCGCACAACAACACGATTGCCCACGCCCTTGTCCAACCGTAGCATGTATGGCCGTGGTACTCACGAGCTGCTTAACCAAGACATTGGCGCTGGACTTGGGGTTGGCAAACGACAGAGAATATGTGGTGCGCAGGGCGATACGTCGTCCCACATGCCGTTTTCAGTGCTATCAACGAGCGTATCTATCTCGAACTTAGACTTCGCCTCGGGCTTGGTGCCCGTCGATGGCTCGAACCAGTGCTTGGACGCGTACCAAGCGCAGAACGGCGGTGACGTGCACGTCTGGGACGCGACGCTATCAATGGCAAACACAACCCGACGATGAACCACCGATGGATCACCTCTAGCACGCAACGTCAAGGGTTTTTGCCTTGACATGCAGAGCGATGCGACCGTAGCGCAGTAAATATGAATTGGATCGCCGCCGGGGCTTGGTGATGGTGGTAACAGGGCGCGCATCCACATCTCAGTGTCGGCAGGACGATGCTGCAGCTCGTCGATATGGTAGCCCGCAACGTTTTGTGTCTCGCAACGACCTTGCCAATGCCCCGTAGATACTGCAGCGCACGTCGTGTACTTGAGAACGACTCATAGTCTCGCACGTACCGCGTGCGTCCACCGCGATCTCAGCGAAGGTGAGCGAAACAGTCCCGATCGAGATGCATTCACAGGGCGCGATTCCCGTCTCCACCGGGAGCGCGGTCGACGCATTTAGTTCCAATCAATAACAGGCAGTTTAGAAGGTCTACTCGGTCGTCTTGGTCGGCTCGCTTGACACGAGCTGCTTCTTCCAAATCGTCTCGGTTCTGCCTTCGAGGTGCGCGACAAAGCGCGCCGAGACAAAAGAAAGTCGCTGAGGCGGTTGAGGTATTGCACAACGGCCGGGTCCGTATCGTCGGCACCAATCGAGACGACACGGCGCTCAGCCCGACGGCACGCCGCCCGCGCCACGTGCAAATGGCACGACGTCAAGCCACCGCCGCTCGGCAGAATAAAGTTACGCAGCGGCTCCAGATGCTCGTCCATTTCGTCGATCCAGTTTTCGAGGAGCGTGACGTTGATCGGGTCGAACTGGGCGCGGCGGATCTTGCTTTGGCCTGCTGAGCTCAGTGGCGTGGCCACGCTCGCGCCCACGTCAAAGAGGCGCGACTGGATGTCTTCGAGGCGCGAGGCAAACTCAAGGCCGGGTACGAGCGTCGTCTTGAGCTGCAGGTTCTGGAAGTGCGTCAAGGCGACACCGATCTGCGCGTTGAGCTCGTCCGTGTCGCCGAGTGCCATGAATACAGCATCGTCCTTGGGCCGGCGCTCGCCCGAGAAGAGTTGCGACGTACCCTTGTCGCCGGTCTTGGTGTACACCTTCATGGTGCTGACGTGGCGCTGGAGGAAGACGCGGTGGGCGACGAGGGAGGCAAGCGAGACCGCGGGGCGACGGACTCGAGGCGCAAGACTGAAAGCTCGGGCTGCCAGCATCGATATGATTTTATTCGTGGTCGGTGTCGCAGAGCTCTCGGTTTGTATACAACGGCGGCGATGTTTTTAAAATACGCGCCACGCGCCTGGCCCAAAGGCCATTGGCCCGATTTCGACCAATCATCGCGCAGCAACTTGGCGAGGTGAAGCCCCCCGAGGTCGCAAGCCCATCACCAGCGCAACGCGATCGCCTTGACAGAGAGTCGTCAGCGGAGGATTCATTTTTGAAATGAAATGATTTTTCTGCTAAAGGTGGAGGTCGCGGCTCGCACTGTCATGGTTAGAGCCTCCAAGGCACGTACCGGCAGTCGTCGTCTACACACCTCGGATGCACTGACAGAGACGCAGAGATGGCAAATCGGAACCAAACGAGGAGCTCAGCGTAAATCATGGTGGGCGAATGCATTCGAGAACGTGCGCTCGTAGGGCGCGTCGCCGAGCAGCTTGTCTACCTTGTCCACCGCAAGCGGTAAAAAAGCCTTTAACGTTACGTCCACCATCAGCGCGAAAATGACCGAGGTTCGCCGGCTCTGCGTCGTCGTATCGCCCTTCTCGGACCGCTGCTGCTGGCGTCGTCGAAAGAAAGAGCTTAAGAGAGCGCTGCTGCATTTTGATGCGAAGATCGGCGCGAGGTGATTTCGGCGCCCACCGCGTTGTGATTGGTCGAGACGATTTCAGCCAATCAGACGCGATATCTTGATCAGCACCAATCAAATTTGCCAAAACCGCTCGATTGGATAGTGCACCGTTTCGAGAATGCTGCGCTTCGTTCGATCGCGCTTCCTGGCGCCGTCGCCGGTGAGCCATGCGCTGAACCACACATGGGCGCCCCGCGCTGCAGCCAAGCAGCCCGAGCGCGCCCGCGTCGCCCTCGTCGGGCGCACCAACGTCGGCAAGTCGACGCTCTTCAACCGCCTCACCAAGTCCCGCCGGGCCATCGTGCACAACGTGCCTGGCACGACGCGAGACCGCCGCTTTGGCATCGTACGCGCCCATGGCATATTGCATCGCGCTTATGTAAATTAGGGCTACTTGGCCGGTATGGAGTTTGATGTGATCGACACGGGCGGTCTCGCCGATGCGCCTACGGGCAGGTACTCGTCGCACTGTCCATTGTACCGTGGCCTCACGCAGCTCTAGCTTGGAGCAAGGCATGTTGTCGCAAACCGAGCGCGCGCTCCACGAAGCCAACTTGATCTTGTTCTTGGTCGATGGGCGCGAGGGGATCACGGAGATTGACAAGCACTTTGCACGGTACTGCGTCGTGCTGCAGTTGACGCCATGTGCTTCAACCAACGTAGCTGGCTGCGCAAGGCCGACCCCAAGGCGCCGATCCATCTCATTGCCAACAAGCTCGAAGGCGACGCGACGCGGTGGATGCCCAACATTCACGACTGCCACACGCTGGGCATGGGTACACACACATCTATATTGCTTCCTCTCTCGCCACGTGCATGGCCTCATGGGCACGATAGGCGACCCCCTCATCATGTCGGCGGAGCACGGCGAAGGCCTCCCCGACCTCGTGCCTCTGATCGCGCCGATCGTTGACGAGCATGCTGCTGCGTTTGCGATGACGCAAGCGGCAGAAGAAAACGCCGAGGAGATCGACCTCGACGAAGCCAAGGAAGAGCTCGAAAACGTATCTTTGTTCGTAGTGCGACGACGACTTATCTGTGGTGTAGCCGCGCGCGATCAAGCTCGCGATCGTGGGCCGCCCGAATGTCGGCAAGGTACGCTCGCTGAAACGATGTCGATGATGTCATAGCATGGCCACTAGTCGACGCTGCTCAACAAGATTGTGCGCGACGACCGTGTCTTGACGGGCCCCGAGTAGGCGCTGCCCACCTTCCTTTCCAATGCAGAACATGATGATTTAGGCCGGGCGTCACGCGCGACTCGGTCGAAGTGTCGTGGAACTTTCAGAACCGCGAGATCACGCTTGTCGACACGGCGGGCATCCGCAAGTTTAGCAAGGTACACAATCGACGGAATGGTTCATGTCTCACTTTGCACTTTGCAGCGCGACCACTCGAACCAGATTGAAAACCTCTCGGTGCGGGACACGTACGATGCGATTAGCTCGGCGCAGGTTGTCGTCGTCGTCGTTGATGTCAGCGAGGAACACTTGATTCATCTCGACCTCACGATTGCCCAGCGGGTACACACACCATGGTCCACTGCGATGAACGGTCGATCGAACGATGCTGCTAGGTTCTGGACGAAGGCCGTGCGCTCGTGCTCGTTGCCAACAAGTCGGACCTCGTCGAGAACGCGGCAGCCGAGATCGAGCGCATTCGCAAGGAGCTCGATGGGTCGCTGGCCCAGGTACCGTCCCACGTTTCGTACTCTCGTCGCGACCGTGTGCACTGTATACTAGGTCCGTGGCGTGCCCGTGGTCCCCATCAGTGCACTCACGGGCAAGGGCGTCCGTGGTATCCTCCCTGAAGTGTATGTTCTTCGTTATCACAAAAAAGTTGCTTACGCCGGCGTTGTGCCACCATCTTATAGCGTCGAAGCCCACAACCGGTGGGATTTGCGCGTGACCACGGGCCGCCTCAACCGGTGGCTCGCGGCCATGGACCGCCATCACCCGCCGCCGACCGTCAAGGGCAAGCAGCTTAAGGTCAAGTACATGACGCAGGTACGCCATCGTCTCTCTCTCTATAGCATAGGCGCTCACTAGCGACGTAGGTCAAGGCGCGGCCGCCGACCTTTGCCGTGTTTGTCAACCGTCCCGAAGATGTCCCGGAAACGTACCGTCGCTTCCTCCTCAACCAGCTCCGCACCGAGTTTGACATGACGGGCGTGCCTGCGCGTCTCCTCCTTCGCGGCGGCGAAGACAACCCGTACAAGAAGGGCTACGCTCGCGCCAAGCCCATGAACCGCCGCACCAAGAAGCTGCCAACCAAGCCGTCGCCGTCGACCAGTGCCGAGAAGGAGCCTGCCTCGCCCAAGGCAGCATCGTCGTCGGTGCCCAAGGCAGCGGCGTCGTCCGAGAGTCGTCCTAAGCAAACGACCAAGAAGCACCCGAACAAGATGAAGGCCGCCAAGAAGTCGGGCAAGGCCAACATGAGCATGAGCTCGGGACTCGGTCGTCTGCCAAGCAAGACGCTCAAGCCCACGGCGCGTGCGGCGGCGAGCGCGACGCCGTCGCGGGAGCCCAAGCGGTCGGGCGCCAAGACGTCGCCGTCCACCAAGACCAACAAGAAGGAAAAATCCCCGCGCTGGAGTGAGAAACGCAAAGACGCGGCGAAGAAGTCGCAAGGTCTTCGCCCACGCAAGGGGTAATCTTCATAATCAAGTCGTACAGCTGCTGGCGGCGTATCCGCCGCACCCTGCAAAGTTGAAGTTTGTTCGCAAGCAGCGTGACGTGTCGACTTTCTACAGCGCCATTACTCGCAGCCGAGGCGACGATTGGACGACTTTTCGAGAAGTGCTGAGTTGGCAAGGTGGTCGCCACAGCGCATGTCGTATACAGTATATGCATTGTACTGTAGAGGGCCACAGCGTTCCATACCGCAGCGTGAAGGGACTTCGAGTGTCGAATAGACTACTAGTATGTTGAACCGGCCGGTACATTAGGACACGGCAGAGGACAATAATACTCTTTGGCTCGAATTTCGTCGCCAGGATGATGATGTCGTCAGCATGCATTTCATCGTGGCACGGCGATTGCTGCGCCTACCGCTTCCCGTCATCGGCCATGGGACATGCGCCTGCATAGATACACGCGTGGCATAGTGAAGCGTCCGGAAGACACGGACCAGGTGGCGGTGGGCGAGGAAGGCTGGCGGCGTTATCTCGAGGGACTGGACCAACAGTGGCTGCATCGCTGTCGCTCCCTGCATAAAGAGCGACGACGAGGGCTGCCCCTTGGCATGCTATGCACATCGTGTCATCCGAACCCCAGCTAGGTGTCGAGGGTACCTGCACCCAGTATCCCGAGGAAGCTTCCCTCGTTGGTTACGCATCCGGATGCGCCGGATACGTGGCGTCACTAGCGTGAAGGTGTGATGCAAAGGGGCGACGCCGCGCGTTTTCATTGGCGTATAATGTCGCATTTTAACCAATTGCATGCGCCAACGCCAAAACGGCAATCTGGGGCGGATCATTTCCCAATTTGCGTGGTCGCCAAGAAGCCAAGCATGAGCGCCAGCGCCTTCTCGAACCAGGCCTTCAAGGTCAACAGCAAGGACGTCGTCTACTCGGCCGAGGCCATCACGACCAACTACACGTACGCGACGACCCACTTTGAGAACAACGTGGCGACGCCCGTCTCGGAGGAGTACGTCATCACGACGTCGACCAAGGTGCCCAAGCTCGGCGTCATGATCGTCGGCCTCGGCGGCAACAACGGCTCGACGCTCGTCGCCGGCGTGCTCGCCAACAAGCTCGGCCTGACGTGGACGGACAAGGATGGCCTCCACAAGGCCGACTACTTTGGTTCGGTCACGCAGTCGTCGACGGTGCGCCTCGGTACCAACAACAAGGGCGAGGGTGTTTACGTGCCCTTCAAGAACATGCTGCCGATGGTCAACCCCAACGACTTTGTCATTGGCGGCTGGGATATCTCGGGCCACAACCTCGCGGATGCCATGGTGCGCGCCAAGGTCCTCGACTATGACCTCCAGCGCCAGCTCATCCCGCACATGGAGAAGATCAAGCCGCTCCCGTCCATCTACTACCCGGACTTTATCGCGGCCAACCAGGCCGACCGCGCCGACAACGTCCTCCAGGGCTCCAAGCAGGACAACCTCGAGACGATCCGCTCGCACATCCGTGAGTTCAAGAAGTCGAACGGCTGCGACAAGGTCATTGTCTTGTGGTCGGCCAACACGGAGCGCTTCTCGGACATTGTCGAGGGCGTCAACGACTCGGCCGAGAACATCCTTGAGGCCATCAAGGCCGGCGAGGACGAGGTTTCGCCCTCGAGCGTGTTTGCCATTGCGTCGATCCTTGAAGGCGCCTCGTACATCAACGGCAGCCCCCAGAACACGTTCGTTCCGGGTGTCGTCGAGCTTGCCGAGAAGCACAAGGTGTTTATTGGCGGTGACGACTTCAAGTCGGGCCAAACCAAGATGAAGTCGGTCCTCGTCGACTTCCTCGTTGGCGCCGGTATCAAGCCCGTCTCGATTGTCAGCTACAACCATCTCGGCAACAACGACGGCAAGAACTTGTCGGCGCCGCAGCAGTTCCGCTCCAAGGAGATCTCCAAGTCGAACGTCGTCGATGACATGGTCGACTCGAACCGTATCCTCTTCAACGAGGGCGAGCACCCGGACCACTGCGTCGTCATCAAGTACGTCCCGTTCGTCGGCGACTCGAAGCGTGCGATGGACGAGTACACGAGCAAGATCTTCCTCAACGGCACCAACACGATTGTCATGCACAACACGTGCGAAGACTCGCTTCTCGCGACGCCGCTCATCCTCGATCTCGTCATCATTTGCGAGCTCGCGGAGCGTATCCAGATCCAGAAGAAGGGTGCCGCCGAGGCCGAGCGCTTCCATTCGGTGCTCTCGATCCTCAGCTACATGCTCAAGGCGCCGCTGGTGCCCAAGGGCACGCCGATCGTGAACGCGCTCTTTGCCCAGCGCGAGTGCATCATCAACATCCTCCGCGCCTGCCTCGGCCTCCCTGCCGAGAACTACATGCAGCTCGAGAACAAGCTCGCGAGCGAAATCAACAAGCGCCTCTAACTTCTCGGATAGGATATATGGTTCATACATATTTTTATTTCCACTTTGCACTTGGGTTTCTGTTTCCATTTCCCAACATCTGTCAGGTCGATAGACGACTGCCATCTCTCGACCAAAGGAGTCGCCTTGTCTCCCACAGAGCCGAGCACCGAGAGGCGCAGGCATGGGCAGATGGCTGGAGGTGCGTTGGCCGCTGTCACGAGAGCAGACGACGTCGGTTTCGATCCTCATGTGCTGCAGGCCCAAGGCTTTCAAGGTCGAATCTTGACTGGCATCCCACTCGAGTGAGGCGAGGTTTCGGCTCGGTGTCACATGATGGCCACAGTCGACCAGCGATCTATCCTACGCCAGGCGCTTGGGCCGCCACGAGCTCGGTAGCGCCGACCTGTCATTGCGATCGGTCCCTTCTCTCACTTCGTCCATCATCGTCCATGGCACAGGTCGCCCGCCCTGCCAAGACAAGATCCGCCTGATCTGAACGTGCATTTTATTTTCAGACATCTTTAAAATAAAATAAAATAGTACAATTTCGGTCAATTGACTTTGACGAAGACGACGACCATGATGGAGGGCAAGCGCGTCGCGTTGCAGACGTCGGTGGTCGCCGAGTACGCCGGTCGCGTCGAGTGCGTCGTGCACTACTCCATGCGCGTGCTTGTCGGTACGGCGGACGGGAAGCTGGTCTTGTACGACACGCGCAAGGACACGAGCCGCCCGATCGCGTCGCACGAGCTGCCCCATCGCGGCCGCGTGCAGCAAATCCTGGTCGTCCCGCACATCCGCATGGTGCTCGTCCTTGCGAACAACACGGTCACGGTCCACGCGGCCACGGACCTCGAGCTCCTCGCGTCGGACCTGCACCTCGCCAAGGACGTCGTGCACCTCTGCGTCAACCAGCGTGGGCCGCCCCACTTTCGTATCTGCGCCTCGTCCGGCGCCAAGCTCCAGCTGTTCCAGTTCGAGGCGAAGGAGAAGCGGTACCGGTTTCTGCGCGAATTGCCGATTGCGAGAGCGCCCGAGAGCGTCGCGTGGTACCGCAACAAGCTCGTCGTCGGCAGCCGCGATGGCTACGTGCTCATGAACGACAAGACGGGCGAGACGGCGCCGATCAACTTGAGCATGGGTGGTTCCGGCACCGCGGCCATCAAGCTCCTTCCGAACGAAGAGATTGTCGTCGCCGCGATGGACACGGTCGGCGTCTTCATCACGTTTACGGGCGACCCGGTCGAGCGCAACTCGATCTCGTGGTCCAAGCCGCCGTCCGCGATTGAATTCACATCACCGTACATTGTCGCGATGCTTCCGTCCAAGGGCGTCGAGATCCACTCGCTCGCCGACGCGTCGCTCGTCCAGTTCCTCCCGATTCCGCGCATTGCGGCCATCTTTAGCAACGGTATGAAGTGGGACATGGATCCGCGGCCTGTTGGTGACTCGGAGGACGTTGTCGTCGTCGCCCAGCTCAACCCGTCGGGGACGACCTCGATCCTCAAGATCGAGCAGACCCCAATGGACCAGCAAGTGACGGAGCTCCTCGAGCGCGGCAAGATCGAGGACGCGTCGGACCTCATGAAGAAGAGCCTCGCGTCGCTTCCGAGTGACAAGCAGAAGAGCCGCATGCGCCGCTTCCACCGCCAAGTCGCGATCGCCCTCCTCCGCCGCTGCGAGTTTGACAGCGCGGTCGAGTTTGTCTATCGGTCCGGTATGGACCCGCGCGAGTGGCTCTCGTTCTTTCCGGAGCTCTGCGCGCCGAGCTTTGCGTACGAGCCGACGGTGCTGACGCCGGACGTCTTGCCGCGCGGCAATAGCGCAAGCCCTGATATGAAGTCGGTCCTCGCAGTACTGCTTAAAGACCACGCGCACGTGATGGCGCCCGAGATTGCGTCGGCCGGCGCGACCAAGCTGCACCAGCAGGCGACCAAGGCGCTCATGAAGTCGCTCGAGATGATCAAAAAACATGCCAGGTAGCGACAGTGTCGCATCGCGCATCCGAATATAATGCTTGTCTAGCCGGGACCGCAGCGCGTCGAAGGAGTCGCCCTTTGCCACGCCCAATCGGTCCCGCTCGGGCAGCCGCGACCGGGCGTTCTCGTCGCGCTCCAATTCGATCGCGTCGGTGCCAAAGGATCTGCAGCGCGCCGAGGCTGTGGACACGGCGCTGCTGCGTTTGTTCATTCTTTTTCAGCGCTTTCCCGACATTACGACGCTCCTCACGTCGCTGGATGCGCAGGGCGACGGCGCCCACGTCGACATGGGCTCGTCCCAGAGCCTCCTCATGCGTCATCATTTGTACTATGAGCTCGGCCTCTTGTTTGAGCGCCACGGCCGACTCCTCGACGCACTGGACGTCTACGCGCGCATGGGCTCGGGCGAGTACGTTCAGAGCACGGTCGATGACAGCGCGTCCGGGGTTCTCGCGACCGTCGAGCTTTTGCGAACGCTCGACGACCCCGCGCTCGTCTATACCCACTCGGTCTGTTGACGGATTATTGGATTGTATCAAGTTCATACTTTTGTGGCGTAGAAATGGGTGCTCCAGGCCGCGCCGCAAGAGGGGCTGCGCATTTTCACGAGCCGCAAGCCGGGCCTACCCAAGCTCGTCGTGGCCGATGTGGCTGCGCACCTTAAGGCGCACTCGTCGGACGCGTCTGTCGCGGCAAAGTACCTCGAAATCATGGCCGACGAGTCGGGCGGTGGCAAGGGCATCGCGCTCGACATTGAAAACCCCCACCACACGCGCCTCGCGCAAGAGTACCTCGATGAAGTGCTCAAGCTCATCGCCAACGGCGACGTGCCGTCCAAGTCGAATCCTGGCCGCGAACCGGGCGTACACGATCTTGTCGACATGGATGGATACTGAGTGCGTGCCCGTAGGCGTTGGGCGTCGCGCGCAAGCGTTTGCTCAAGTTTCTAAAAGCCCCGGAATCCGCGTACGACGTCTCGGCGCTCATGTCGAAAGTCAAGGCGTCGCCGCTGCGGGCCGAGTTTGTCGTGCTCTGTGGCCGCGGCGGCTTCCACGACGAAGCGCTGCACTCGATGCTGGCGATGAGCGACGACCTCGCCGGCGCCGAAGCCTACTGCGACAAGTACGGGTCGTCGGGCCGCGGTGGCACCAACAAGGCGCTCTTGCTGCTGTTGCAGCTGTGCTTTGCAGACCTCGACAACGTCGACCGTGTCGAGTTTGCCCACCTCGTCATGGTATGTTGTCCTTTTCCTCTTTCGTGCGGTGTGCAATGGCGGAGGTGTAGGCTCGCCACGCCAAGCAGCTGCCGGGTATCACGGCGCTGGAGCTCATTCCGCCGTCGACGCCGCTGGCCAAGGTGACGGATTTCCTCGGGCAGCTTCTGCCGCACAGCGCGCACCAAGTCCGCGATCAAATGCTCGCGCGGAACCTCTCCAACATTTACAACCTCCAAGTGCAGTGCGACCGCGTCGAGCGGATTTCCGAGTCGGTCGAAATTGACGCCAAGACGATCTGCGGCGTGTGCAAGAAGCGCATTGACACGACCATCTTTGCCGTGTACCCCAACGGATCGCTCGTGCACTTTAGCTGCGGCGCCAACGCGAGTATGGAAGTCGACCCCGTCACCGGCATGGACTTTGGCAACTAAACGATCAAGTTCTAATACTCTGGGTTGACGAGCAAGAAACGACCAGTGTGTATGTCATGCCCGTCATCTGACTTGACACTGGAGGGACGAGGGAAGTTTCGGTGCATACCAGAAGGTCGCGTACGCGGTGAAGGACTTTCTCGTGCTCCGGCGACTGACTGGCTCACTGTGGTATACAAACCGCAAGTCGCGCGGGGAGTCCGGATACGGAAGTGGTATCCGTACCCATGCGGTCCGGATACGGCCTTGGAACAACAAGAACTCGCAACAGGGTGTTTCGTTTCCCACGGGCGTCGACGACGACGACGACGACGGCAGCGCGCGGCAACCACGGACGACCTGCTTCCGCGACGACGACCTCATCATCATCCTCTACGTACGTCGACATGGAGGTGATGACCGAGGTAGACAGGCTCGTATATGTAGGCGCGACGAAGCTCGAGGGATGCTGCCTGCGACCGGAGAACGGACCAACGAAGGCAAGAGCTACAACTCGCACGTCCTCGCCATGAGCTCGCGCCCGCTCGCGGTCGTGCCCGAGGTCCGCGACGAAGACATCGATACGACGGTCGTGCCAGGCTTGCCGATTGCCGTCCATCGCATCGAGCGCGACGACAAGTCCGTGGACAAGCAGCAGAAGAACAGCCACTTTGAGAAGCTCAATACGCTCAAGCTGCTCATGGACACGGGCCATCTCTCGGAAGAAGAGTACATGGTACGAGGCATCGACACGACCGACGATGGATACATGGTGCGTGGCTAGGAGCGGAAGACGCAAATCATCAACGAAATGACGGGCACGAGTTCCCAGCGCCGTACGATATGGCAACGTCGTGGCAGCCCGAGGCCTCATTCTCTCTTGTCGTGTCTAGCGGGCGTGCAACGGAAACCCAAGTCGCTGCAGCCTATCATGAAGACTGTCGTGCCCCACAACCCGCCCGACTTTTCCCACCTCCTCAAGGAAAGGGCAGAGAAGCTCAGCTTTGACGCCGACACGCTCGAGTGGAACTCGTGCCATACCATTGTCAAGCTGGACCTCGTCCCATTCGCAACGGGCCAGCTCCGCAACGCCTACTACCTCCAGGTATTCCACTGCCTCTACCTCAAAAATCGGTGGTAAAATGACGATGGGCACGGTATAGGATTTGGGTACAAATGGTGACAACGACGGCAAGCTCTATGTCGCCAAAGTCATTATGGGCGCGGCCGAGCCCAGTGCATATCTATGGTATCCGTGTCACTTTGTGGAAACGGATGGGTGACGCGCCTCCTGTCATTAGCGATGTCGAGATGCAAGCCGTGTGCGCGTACTACGCCAAGCTCTACAACGAGCACGAACCTCCGCTCAAGGTCAAATATGCGAGCTCGTGGCTTCTGAAGGTACATGGTCGACTTGAAGTCCGAGTATTGAGTACGGGTCCATTTAGCTGCGGGATCGACAAGACTTGGTGTGCTCAGTTGAGGAGTACCTTCCCGGCGAGTACGTCAAGTATAGCAACAACAACGGGTTTGTCGGTAAGGAGACAAGCACGACGGAAGAGCGCGAGCGCAACACACCGCAGGTACACTGCCGCACGAGGACTGCAATTGGTGCGAATCAACCCATCTGCAGGCGTTTTCGCACTTTACCTTTGTCTCGTCCGACTTTCGCCTCATGGTCGTCGACATCCAAGGCGTCAATGACAGCTATACGGACCCGCAAATCCACACGGCGGACGGCCGCGGCTTTGGCTCGGGGAACCTCGGGACGCACGGCATGGAAAAGTTCCTCGAGTCCCATCGCTGCAACGAAGTCTGCCGGTACCAACACGAACCTTTGGGGTTGATCACGTCATCCTTGTCAACCTAGGTGGCTCGGTCTCCGTACTCTGAACGAACAGTTCAAACCAGGTGGTACCGCCGCACCACTGTACCGCATGCCGCTCGCCGCGATCAAGAAGTCGACGAGCCGCATCACGGAGGAGCGCAACTCGTTCTCGAGGTCCGTGACCGTTTCGGAGGTGCTCGGAACGACAACCGTCACGTCGGCGTCGCTGCTGACGAACGAGTCGACGCCGTTCCTGTATGGGCGGCCTCCAGAGCCGCCGCAGACGCTTGGGTCGCTCCTCTGGAAGTGCCTGCAGTCCATGTGCTGCTGCCTTGGCGGCGACGCAGCGTAATTTATCAAGACCTCCTCCATCTCCCCGCCGCCATAGACAACGACGACGACTAGAGCCCTTATTAGCGTGTACCATAGCAAACAAACACGTCGTTGACTGTTCATGCTGCTTACACGCTGGGATGCATCGCGTCGCCGCGCAACTGCTCGACGCTATCGTTCGTCTCGTGGCTGTCGCCGGTGGCAACCAATTGCTGCGCTCGCTTGGAGGCTGCTTGCTGGCGCAGCGAAAGGCTCTTGCGCAATGACGCCTCGTCGCCGTTGTTGTCCTGCTTCTTGTCGGCATCGAGCGCTCTTGAACGTACTCGGCGAGAAAGGCGTCCTAACTACCGTGTCAGTGCATCCGCGCGCGATGCTGGACAGCGTACCAGGATCGACGCAATGAAGAGGTTGAGGGTCACAATGACGCCAACGATCCAGTAGCTGATAAAGAAGAACCGCGCGTAGATGGTCGTGACGGCAACGTGACCATCCACGATGACGTACCAGTTGTTGACGACGAGGAGCTCAAAGAGCGTCACCATGCCACTCGGAATGTCGTTAAAGTTGTTGGCAAAGTACCGGTTCACGGTATACGACACCGTCGGATGAGTCAACTCCATGGTGGCCGGCGAGATGCTTCCGCCAAAGAGGTGGTGCCCCAGTAGGGCAAAGAGGTTCATGTTGCAAAAGAGCACGAGAAGGATGTTCTTGCCGACGGGGAGGAGCCGCAGCCACGCCGAGAAGAGCACGCGGTAGCTACACCCGGTAGAGTGAGCATCGATCACCGTAGAGCTCTCTCATACCGTTTGACGGCCATGATGAGCCGCAGGAGACGCAAGCAGCGCACCAAGAGCAGCACTTTGACCATTGTATGGCTGTTGTACGCGTTGGGAATGTAGGCGTAAATGTCGATCGTCAAGGACGTGACCGTGATGAGCGCGTCGAACCGGTTCTTTCCCGAGTGCCAATACTCGCGAGCACCGAGCACGAGCAGCTTGAGAAGCATCTCGAGAAGGAAGAGGCACGAGAAGCACGTCGCGACCAGTTCCCACTGCGACCACGACTCGGACATGGAAAAGTTGTCGATCGCGGTGGTAAACTCGATGACAATCACGACCGCGTTGATGACGAGGAGCGCGTCAAAACCGAGTTCAAAGCGGCGGTGCGTCACGCAGGCGCCTACGCATTATAGTAAAATACAACAGTGACAGTCGGCACGTACAGAGACGTTGATACTGGGGGGATGTCGCCAGTGCTGGAAGAAACCGGTCGACTTCGCTCGGCTTGGGGCGGTGAAGGCGCATGTAGACGCGGACGACGTCGCAAAGATCGATAAACTGCGCCAAGTACACACGGCCGTCGTCGTTGGCATCGAGTTCGTGGAAGAGGTCCCGCATGTGACGCTCTTTGAGCGCCTTGACGACCTTGTACTGGTTGAGCTCGGTGAAGAAGCACACGAGAAGGTCCATCGCAATGTACGCGTCGTCGTTCTCGTCGGCGGCGGCGGCGGCATGTCTTTTCTGTACGGCGGCGAGCTTTGACGAGGAGCCGGTCACGGTTGGCGGCGTGTGTGGCTGCCTCGCGGGCCGCGACCCACTGAAAGTTGGAAAACACTTGGGCCAAAATGACGTTCATGAGGAAGAAGAGCCCGAAAAACACAAAGCAGATAAAGAAGAGTGCGTTCGCGCGGTGCATCGCGTACGCAGGCATCATGACGTCGGGAAAATTCGCCGTTGTGAGAAGAATGAGCAGTTGCCACGACGACTCGACAAACGACGACGTGATGACGGCTACACGACGAGTTGCTCAGCAAGGCGGCGGACGGCAGTGTACCTTGGGGCGTGTCACGGAAGAGAATCGTCGCGAGCCAGCCGCAAAAGAGCACGTAGATGCCCACGAGGCAGAGGAGGTTGCCGACTTCGCCAAGCACAAAGTAGAGCTTTTGGTACGTCCCTCGCGCGGATCGAGAGGACGAAATGAAGATCAAGAGACGAAGAAACGATGCGACGCGGCCTGCATCGGCAAAGTTACCGGCGAGGCGCACGACAACGTTGACGGTCGCGGCCATGTACAACAGCGAGACAGCGAGCCTAATCCGACTGAGAGAGCTGTGAAGCGGAGAGAGAAATGTACCGATCTTGGCGCGCCGCGTACTTGCGTTTGAGCGACGCGAGGAGGAGGATATCGTTGCCCCAAATGACTGCGAGACACGCGACTTCGACCGCCATCGACTGCCGGCCCGAGAGCCAAATCGTGCCAAACGTCAGCGGCGTCGTGGCGTCGTCGGGGTCGCCGCACGGGTGGTCTCCACCCTTGGTGCACCAATACGGCGTCTCAATGTACGAGAGCGAGAGAAGGACGGTGACGGCGAGCCAGCGCACGTAGCGTAGCCGGTAGTAGAGCTTTAGCAGCTGCACGGCTCGTAAGGTGGCGTCTGGATGCGGCTTCTCATACCCGCGGACGGCGTCTTCGACGAGCCAAGCGGCCTTGGTGACCCGATGGCGGTCCTCGGGCCCGAGCTCGAGCAGCGGTTGCTGGAGCATCCTTGACTAAATTTGACACTGCCACGTTGCTGATCGCAAGATCGGGTGTCGATCCTAATTAGGCACCTCGGACATCATCATCTCCATCATCATCGCTGTCTCTTGATGGACGAAGGCAACTCGCATAGCCGCAGTGCGCAGGCTATTGCTGGATACTGCTTTGGAGCAGAGGAATGTGCGCTGCTTTCTTGAAGGCATGATGATGACGAGAAACCCTCTTCATGGCTCCATGGATTGTCGTGTTGGTAGTGAAGTACGGATTCGCATTCACAGGCAGGCGAATGACAGCTCACAATAGTATCGTCCCCTTCTACTGCAGGACACACGGTAGACAGACAAATCGCACACATCAGGCTGGTGCTTCCTCAGTAAGGCCGCCTGTGTTGCAGCGAAGGCTGATAGGGTTGGATCCTAAATAGGACATTTATTGGGATGTGCACTCCACATCCAGGCATCCAGCCACATCGAGCCACATCACAGCTGTTGTGGTCATTGTTGTCTCCATATCTTCTTGCTGCTCGCACCTTTAGCGTAAAAGACCAACGATTAATACGAGTAAACGAATCTTTGTCGTTATCGATGTCGCGTTATGCGCAGGAAGCGAGCTGCACCGACTACGTGGATAAGCGCAAATGGACGGCTCGTAAGGCATGTCATCTCGCGCCTGACATCTGATTCTAAAAATGGATGGCTCGCGTGACTCGCCTCTGGCTCCAAGGTCAAATGTTCGCGACATCGGAACGCCACTGTGTATCATGTAGATCGAGGTGTTAAACTACGTAACGTTAGCTAGTACGATGCTCTTTGTTGCTGTCACGGCGATGGCAGGGACGTGTGGGCCAAGGGGCTGCGGGTGTCGCTGATTGCTAGCGGCTTGAGGACGCTCATTTGACGTTGGTTTGAAGCAAACTCCAACGCGAACGCATCCTACGCATCGCATGTAAGAAGCCATCGCCACAGGTACACTGCGTACCAGAATCGAAGCAACAAAGAGGTTGAGGGTCAAGATCACGCCGAGGAGCCAGAACGCGATGAAAAAGAACCGCGCGTAGATCGACGTCACGAGCACGTGACCCTCGGCGATGACGAACCAATTGTTGACGACGAGAAGCTCGAAAAGCGTCACCATACCGCTCGGAATGTCGTTGAAGTTGTTGGCCGCGTACCCACTCGTCGTGTAGCTCGAGGCCGGAAACTCGCTGTTCATGCGACTCGGCGAGATCTTTCCGCCAAAGAGCACGTGTCCGAGCGCTGCAAAGAGGTTCATGTTGCAAAAGAGCACGAGAAGCAAGCTCTTGCCCACGGGTAGGAGTCGCAGCCACGTGAGGAAGATGACGCGGTAGTGGGAGATGTTCATGATGAGCCGAAGAATCCGAAGACAGCGCGTCGTTAATAGCACCTTGACCATCATGTGGTCGTTGTACGCATTGGGGATGTAGGCGTAGACATCGATGATCAGCGACGTCACGGTGATGAGTGCGTCAAAGCGGTTGCGACCGTCATCCCAGTACGCGCTGGCGCCGTAGACGAGCAGCTTGCAGAGCATTTCGAGCACGTACACAAGGGAGAAGCCCGAGTCGACGAGCTCCCAGTTGCGCAAGCCGGTCGCATGTGCCGGCGTCGCAAACTCGATCATAATAACCAATGCGTTGAGGACAAGGAGGACGTCGATACTGAGCTCAAAGAACCGATGCTGCACCATGCTGCCTATCGAGATGCGCGATGAGAGACGGAAGGCGAGGATGACGTACAAAACGCGCGAAAGCAATGCGTCGACGCCAGGCGCGGGCACCAGCGCTGCACCTCGGACGGCTGGTGCAACCGAGCGCGCGTCGTCGCCAGCATGACCTCGCAAAGGCGTGTAAAGTCGTGTCTCGCAATGAGCCCGAGACCCTTGACATCCAGCTCCTCCACAATCAAGAGGCGATGGCTCTGCGTTGTACGTGGTGCCGCACGGTACCGCTGCAACTCGAGCAGCAGTTGATGGCACAAGGCAACGTCGAGGCTCGCGCCGGCCTCACTATCGAGCGGGCGTCGACGTGGCGAGGTCGAGAACATGAGCGTTTGTTTCTCTTGCAGAGGGGACGGCGGTGGCCGCATGCTGCTGAGGATATCGTACGCCTCGGTAAGCATGCGCTGGCGGTTGTCGTCGAGGTCGATCGCTTCAGACGATGCGATTTGCTGGTAGTTGGAGAAAATCTGGGCGAGGATGACGTTGAGAAGGAAGAAGAGCCCAAAGCAGAGGAAGAAGATGAAGAAGGATGCTTGCCACCGGCTCTTGTTGTACGCGGGCAACATGACATCGGGAAAGTTGGCGGTGGTCAGCAAAATCAGCATCTGCCACGACGACTCGACGTACGTCGACATGGTGCCGCCTAATCGAGTGCGCGTGAGATGCGACGGTACCGTACAAATCGGAGTCAAACCTTCGGCGGTGTCTTGAAAGAGGATCGTGGCGAGCCAGCCAAAGAAACACACGTACACCGCGACGAGACTTAGGATGTGCTGGACCTTGTTGAGCACAGCAAACATTTTGAGGTACGTGCTCCGGACAGTCTGAAATGTTAGCACAAAAATCCCGAGTCGCAAGAAGAGCGCGATTTGTGCTGCCACGTCACCGAGGAAAAGGCGGTTCATGCACGCAGCGATCGTGAGCAGCAGCACCATGACGCTAGCCCCTTGTCGTCAACCTTTTTCACCAAAGTACCTAAACCTACCGATCGCGCCGAGCGGCAAAGTGGCGCCGAAGGGCGACCACGAGAAGAAGATCACTTACACCGACGACGCCGAGGCAGCTCAGCTCGACCAGCAACGCCGTCGACCGCGACAGCGTCGGCAGGTTAAAAGTCAGCGGCGTTACAGGCGCACCGGGGTCTCCGCACGGCGCGCGGGCGTCGACACCACGGCACCAAAAGGGCACTTCCACGTACGAGAGAAGGAGGAGGAGGAGCACCGCGAGCCGCCGGGGGTAATACAGCCGGTACGAGAGGTTAAAGCATGCCACGTTGACAGACTGCGAGCAGTCGGGGTGCGGGCGAGCGATGCCAGCGAACGCGTCCTCGACGAGCCATGCCGCCTCGCGCACCTTGGCCGCCTCGTCCATCGGTTACACTGAATCCGGTTTCGGGCTTGTCCGCACTTGATCGAGTGTCATGCCATTCAAAGCGTACATTAGCGGGTGGTGCAGCTTGAGAGCCCACTGATGCGAGGCTGCGGAACGCGTGCAATTGAGTTGAGAGCCAGGGCGGCCTTGAGCAATGCTAGAAGCTGCACCCTCAACGTATGGAAAAAGGCGCGATTAGTTCGATGGAATTGGCGTGCGCGATGCTGGCGGATGCTGGGACGACACGCCACTGCATGCGGTTGAGCTCGCGTACAATGTGTAGGTCTGGCCAAGGGTGCATAGAATAGTACACTTCTTCACGTGGTGTACACTGGGCTCGGCGCGACCGGATTTATTTCCGGCTTTTGGAGTCGAAGCGGTTACGGGCAGGTCCAGTTACAGTCCTCCAAGAGGTCGAGCATGGACGGGATGACGACGTATGAAGACAAGGTTGACGCTATCGGGTCGCCGCGGACAGCGTACCCCCGCGCGGCCAAGCACTTCCGCCATGCGGTCCAGAGCCCTCGGCGCCAGACCGAGGCCGACATTCTCAACAAGCAGCAGCTTCTCGAGATCCAGGTTCGCTGCTCGTCTCATCCTCTTGTGCTCATGTCGAGCTGCAGCGCTTGCGCGATCAAATGGCCGAGATGCAACTCCAGGTGCAAGCACTCACGACCGAGCGCGACAGTGCGGTCCAAGGCCGGGCGAAGAAGCCGGCGCGGTCCATGGCGCCGTCCATGTTTTCCGTGACGGACGATGGCCCGCGCGAGCGTCACGTCGCCGCGGGTCTCGGGCGCCACGTGAGCATTGCGACCAGCAACGTGCTTCGGGCGATTCCCAAGCAAATTCCGAACCGCGTCGCCGCGCGTGTGAGCGAGGTACAGGCGCGCACGAGTGCGCGCACCTCAGACGCCACATGTAATAGGCGTTTACGAACCCACTCAAGGCGATCCAATACCTCAACTCGTTCGAGTTTAGCACGGATCTGCTCGCGCTCGCGCAGCAAGTGGCGACGATCTTTGAAAGCGAAGCGCGCTGCGTGACCATGGAGGTAGATCACTTGGAGGAGGATGCGTACCACGTGCGCGCACTTGAAACCATGCATGGATAGAGTCCCGTGTATGTGTTTGGTGACATTCACGGCA